ACTGATATTTAATTGAGTAAATCCCGATATTTCAATAATAACAGTTTGTTTAAACCGAATAAATTTGTTTGCCGTTTGGGGCTTGAAAAAATGTTTGCTATAGCCGAAAATTTGTTTTAAGCGAGTACGTTTTAAGCGATGATATTTAATATAAAATAAAGAAGGAATCGGAAATCGGCCGAGGATTTCAGATTTAGTTCGCTATTAACGATAATACGTTATAAGCGAGTTTGTTATAGGAGGAGTCGACGGTTCTGTACATATTGAACGATATTTCAATTCTAAAACTAACTCATTATAGATATTTTTCTGTGTTTATTAACATTATTTAACGATACCAAAGTCACAACATTCCAAAACTCATTCATAAAATGTGTTCTGGAAATCTCAATTTTAATATGATTGTGATAAAGGTTTCTCTATTTATCTTGCTAGGTGTCATCACTTGACTAGACTACGTATTGTCAAATTATTTTTACTGCTTAATAATTTTAATTAGTTAAGCTTCAATCTCAATATTGAAAATGAGCTTTTACACTGACTTTTGTAACGAGCCAGGCGTAACTAGAAAGAAAAGCCAGCAACAAACTTGTAACAATAACAAATTTATTACAGAAAAATTATTAAAGAAAAATTAAATAACAATTTATGTTTACAAATACCTGAAGTCCAAATAAAAATATATATCTCAAATGTCTTTTGAATAGCACAGTTAAATCCAAGAACACTTTAGAATGAATTCCCACAATATAATCCACAAGAATAATTTAATCTATTATAAAATCCAAGCTCCAATAAATTTGGCACTAAAAACGTTAATATTCAAGTCGAATAATACTCCAAATGTTTTGATGACTTAAAAGGTAACTGATGACTTAAAAGGTAAAGGTAATGAAAAATATCCCCTAATATATACTAAGCTAAGATCATTCCAGATCAGTCTATTATGTTCTACAGTAATCATAATCTAGCACCTTCAACAATAAAGAATAATCTGGAAACTTCTATCTAAATATAATGCATGAATCATAATCTAGAATTTTCTACAACAGTTAAGAAACTCCTTGTTAAATCTTATTTACACACATGTAGTTTATGTTCTAAAAATAGAACAATAATAATATTGGAAATACCAACTTGTCAGAAATAAACTATATACATGTAATATGTTGCATACATAACACTTTAATTTTATAGTATAATATAAACCTGAAAAAAGTTAAGCCCAAACGGCATTTTACCTCAATTTTGACATGACCACAACATACATTCTAAATTTTATTTGGGCAATGGTACATGTACATGGTACATATTATACTTCAGAGGTGTGCTTTACTGAATAACTGATTAATTTGTTTTGAACGTTTAATTATTTTCACTTGCTTCTGTCACGAAATTTGTGGTAACGTTATGTAACCGCTAGAATGTCACTTAAGCAATTGGTGTCTTGTTTTTCAAAAAGACTTGATTTAATCATAAAGTCGAAGATAATGGTAGAATCGGTCAAATAAAATCAAGGCTATTAATCGGGGTCAATTTTCTGATCGCATGTGAGCGACTAAATCAATTAACTCATGTGTCTGGCTACATCCACCATTTGCAAAACGCTGTTCCGATTTTTATTATTTCAAAAGTAGTTGCAAAGTGCGTTAAGGCAGCTGTTAATAGTGGTGAGTCGATTAATCGCACTTGACAAAACAAAAAACATTGTACTCAGCAAATAAGTATATCTACATTCACCATACTAATGACCAGTTTAACATTAAAATCAATGTTCGAAAACTAGAAATGTTTAATCATGCAAAAGCCAAACAATCAATCGCATAAAACAGATTAAGAAATTGTGAAAATGGTGTCACATTTAAACATTGTACACTTCGAGAATTCTTATTGAAGCAAACATATAGAGTGTGTCCCCATTTTACTTAGAATTTGCTGCTTAAACGTATCGTTTTTCAAAAACATTTCATGTTAAGATGCATAGATACTGTGTTTGGCTTATGCGTTAGTCCCCTCTTATATGTTTTCTGCAATATAAAGTTTGACAATATTGTATATTGCTTTAAATAGATCTTGTTTAACATCAATTATATCAATAATACAAAGAAAGAGGAAAGGTGTCCAACATGATTACATTCAATAAACATATTCAGATTGAATCATAGTAATCATGGCGGTTATTTATATAATAATATGTCACTGACACAGACTAATTTGCTCATGTGATAAGCATAAATAACCTTTCCATATACAGTATAACTTTTGTGTTTCCCCTGATCTATTAAGCAAAACGACATCAAAGAACTATTTACAATGATTTCATGCAAATTGATACAGAAAAAAACACAATGATTTTCCTATAAAAATAAATAAGCTAGCATTTCCTTAAAAAAGAATAAATTAAATCATCATAAACTTTGTATACGTTTAACTTCATACCCAATGATGTAATTTACTACTTAAAAAATTAATCTTACTGTTGTTCAAAAACCAAATTCTCTAAAAGTTACAGAACAATCTTGGCTGGTTATTACACTACTCACACATTCGAAATCAAAAATTTCTATTACTATCTGAATAAATTCCTTTAGTTTACTGTCACTTATATATGACTACTACAAGAGGGACAATTTTTTATAATTCGTTGATGAATAATTTCCCTTCGTCATTGGCAAGGCATGGGCCATTTAGTTATTAGTGCTTAACGAACTTCCCACCTATAGTCAGTCGAAGGTTTCAACTTTACTTACAACACTGCCATTAATTTTTTGTTATTTTCAATATTATTCACAGTATTTGTCATATATAAATCTACTTTCAACATATTTTTTTTCTAGTTTCTGGACTTCTAATTGCATTATGTGAACTTGTTGATTTTCCATCTTGTATAATCAAAACAATATTTCTTTTACTGAGTTTGGATCGGGCATCTAAAATAGGATTAAAAAGAGATATATTTTAAACAATGTTCAATTTGTAGTACTAGCATATAACTACTTATCATGCGAAAATTATACTGACAAACACACACAGTATTAACTGGTCCTTTAGATCACCAGAGTTGTCAGGGTATGCCTTTAGGTTGGTTGTATGTACTGTCGTGTTTTCACATTTAGTTTTTTAAAACTTTGTTTTTGGGAGCACTTTGGAGCAAGACGTATGTTCAAATTCGAAACAGCCTTCCATGATTAAAATAATGAATTTAAAAGCCTCAAAAAGCGACCAAAACAAGTAAAAATGAGGCAATGTATTGGGTGATGTATTTCCCGCGGTCAAATGATTGTCGGTATGACGGGGTTTTCTCTTTTGGCTTTTTAAAAATTTATCATTCACTCTAAATATATTGACTCATTAATCAAAAAAATAGAAATATGTTTGAAAGTGTCAAAGACATATCAGCTTCCTAAATATTAGTAAGGCCTAGAAACACAGACAAAGAACAAACAGACAGACAAGTCCAATTAAAGATACACATATGTTCCTCAACGGTATTTTAGGTATTTTGCAATCAAGTGAAACAACCATAAATGACAAATTGACAACGAGACGGGGCGCGGATTGAAAGGCATCCTCTTGTGCTTTATTCGAAGAGATCCATGTTGGACTGTATGCTTTATATTAACAAACCATTATAACAATTCGAACTACTTACTTTTATTGATTCATTTTGAGACTGCTTATAACATAATTGCCGTATAAACTGTAACTGTTTTATTTTGATTTTGCCTTTTTTTGTAATTCTTCAATCTACCTTCTACCCAAATATCCTAATTTATATTATGCAAAAATAATGATTTATTACAACCAATATATTCTTTTAAACATATTTATTAAGAGACAATTTAACAATGTCTACAGGCAATCACATTGCATTATCCTAACCAAACTTAATTCAACACACGTAATGTGAAATAAATCAAAAGTGTTTTAATAAAAACACAATACTTGCCATAAACAACACAAGTTTCATACACGACATGTAAGTCACTATGCGGATTTCGTGAATTTTTAACAAAACACGCTGCCTAAGTAACGTTTTAAACACTCCAGGATAACGTGTGTTTTTTTTCTATTCAATCTGTACGATTTCATTAAAATGTTGTTATCGAAGAGAAGGTAAAATATATGTGCTTACGAATATATATACCTATTAAAGTGGAACAAATCTTTAAAGTATTACTCGAATAATGCTGTAATTTCGGACATTTTTGTAATTCAGTTCTAACATGTTGCATTTGGTCATGTACGAGGCTTAAAGCTGTTAAAATTCGTCATTTTCTTAATACATAAATACTTCTCATAAAATCTTGTAAATAGATCTATGTCCAATATTGTTTATTTTAATTTGTTCCTTTTTTTTAATTCGCGCACCCTCATAATTGTTATCTTCTTCGACACTGATAACAGCATAAAATTATGGAATGAAATAAAGCAATCTCGAAACAAATGCTAAATTAAAAAAAAAAACACTTTCTTTTCGGTATGCCAATGTTTGATTGATTTGGGTTATTTATATAATGTATTTAACAGTAAGAAAATGTAAAAAAAAAACACCACTTTATTTTTCCCAATGCTTAATATTACTCTTTTCTGGCTAAAATATGATAAACAAGATCAACAAGGAAAGGCGGCGTTCAATGAACGAAACCCCCATTCGACCCAGCAACAAGAACTAGTGGCAAGGAGCCCAGGCGGACCGCAAACAAAAACAAGACAGAGCACAAGACATCCTGTTTAATTTGTTTTAAATGCTCTAAATCAGCTAAACGGTTGTGTCCAACGTAAATTGTGTATACGTTATCATCTGCTAATTCTTAAGTAGCAATTTGACGATATAGATTTATTCTTGTTTAAACATTCTATATTTTCCACATTCGCAATTCATTAAAACAATCTGTTTTATATTTTTAGCAATTTCATGTCCAACACTCTCTCAATTACAACATGGCAGTCTACACCAAAGCAAAAAGGATGCCCTTGCAAATAACTATGGAAGTATTGTTAAGTACACCTGCCATCCGGGTAAGTATTTCTGTATTGTCAGTGTACTATATTTCCAAATTTAAACAGTGCAAATATTAGTTATCAAGTAGATAACTTTGTTCTCTAGTGTAGCACACGACGAAATTATTTCAGCATATGAATATCTTACAGATATTACAGATTTGTATAAAAAAAAATATAAACGAAATATGCACTTAGAACGCGACTCTTTGCGAACTGTCGAGGAGCGTCTTGAACATTAATATGTTAAGGTTGACAATATATCAGATTTGATTACGTTGACATTATTCCAACAGTTTTAATCTGTTTTGTACATATGACGTCAATAATTCAGGTAAAGTACGCGCGTAATATACAAAATATTTGTTGTATGAAATCCGTATTTTACTTTCATCCGGATTCTTATATATAATTTACAGGTCTGTTAAAAATTCTGAATAATTCACATTCAATTAAAGGAAAGAAACAGTCTGATCTTACATTTGTCAGAATTATTACTTTTTCCGCATACATAAACGTCCAAATAAGAAAGACATTAACTAATTCAATAGAATTGCAATTCGACATATATAATAATATATGTTATAAATTGACATAATTATACCTGTATTTAAATTTTACAAGCCCTGGTTCCAGTTTGTGGTTCTTTTCGGAAATTGACTATATATCTATCAGAAACGGTGATATGCTCGTATCAAATAGTAGGGACGAGTAAACAAAGCCATTCAATGCTTGAATATCAGGCAAAATTTTTACATCTATATCTGCTTTTTAATCTCAAGATATAAATATAAATTTAAAGTTCTTTGCCAAGGAACGCAAATTCATTTTTGCTTAATTCGTCAGTATTTACAAATAATGCAATACCATAAATATTGATAGTGTCGCCATACCCACAAACTACAACAACATTACATATAGATGTTGTGTTATGGAACGCTGTGACTGTCTTATGTGATCAATGTTTTTGCTATATTGTGAAACGATGATATTATTTTATCGTTTGAGCATGTTAGCATGTGCAATTCACATCATGCCTTGTCCAATCATCATTATGAAATGTGCAGACAACATGTTAACTTGTCAAAGTATAATGATGACTTGTGCAAACGACTTGTTAACTTGTCAAAATTTCATGATGACATGTGCAAACAGCATGTTAACTTGTCGAATTATCGTGATGACATGTGCAATCAGCATGTTAACTTGTCGAAATATCGTGATAACATGTGCACAAACATGTTAACTTGTCAAAGTATAGTGGTGACTTGTGCAAATAATATGTTAACTTGTCAAAGTATCATGATGACTTGTGCAAACACCATATAAACTTGTCAAATTATCATGATGACTTGTGCAAACACCATGTAAACTTGTCAAAATTTTACGATGACTTGTGCAGACAACATGTGTGTTTGTCGAATAATCATGATGACATGTGCAAACAACATGTTAATTGTCGAACTATCGTGATGACATTTGCAAACAGCATATTAACTTGTCGAATTATCGTGATGACTTGTGCAAACAACATAGTATCTTGTCAAAGTATCATGATGACTTGTGAAAACGACATGTTAATTTGTCAAACTTTCATGATGACTTGTGCAGACAACATGTTAACTTGTCTAAGTATCGTGATGACTTGTACAAAACACAGTCATGTTAAATACTCAAAGTATCATGAGCATGTCATCACGCTAATTCGTCAAGTAAACATGCTGTTTGCACATGTCATTATGAAATTTTGACAAGTTAACATGTCGTTTGCAGATGTCATCATGATACCTCGACAAGTTAACATGTTGTTTGCACAAGTTGTCATGGTACTTTGACAAGTTAACATGTTGTTTGCACATGTCATCATGATTATTTGACAAGTTAACATGCTGTTTGAACAAGTCAGCATGGTATTTTGACAAAATATGATGTAAAATGCACATGTTAATATGCTTAAACGACAAAATAGTATCATCATTTCACAAGATAGCAAAAACATTGATCACTTAAGACAGTGATGGCGCTCCATAGTGTGTTAAGTGTAGGATACTTGATCGGATATAACATATTTGTATTCAGCATATTATAAAATACACTGCATCAATTTCTATTCATCATAATTATAAATGTTCATATTTAATCGCGTAAAAAAGATCACCATATTTGTTCCGGAAATATGAGGATCATTGTTATTTCTTGAATTTCTTTTTTAGAGGACGATTTTTGTATTTTCTGATCGACGATCAGGAACTACAAAGTTAACATTCAATCTCTGACACAGCGGTTCACGACAAACCCAACAACAAGTAGTTCACAAACCAGCTTAAACCTAGTTATCACTGCAGGTGATCCTATATCAATATCACATAACATCCTATTTAATTCGTCCTGGTAGTGCGTGTATAAGTGGTTCTGTCTCGCGACAGTCAGTATGTTAATCCTCGCCAGGTTTAACGTTTATTATACGACTTATTTAAGATTAGATATATCTGAATCGTTATTTTGATAAACTATTTAAAGGGAGTCTGCAAATCGTGCTACAGTTCTGGAACTTGTAAGATATGGGACTTCATTAAATGGCAACTATCATTTTACAAGCAACATATTTAACCACATAAGAATGTGCCTGTTGGAAAAGAAAATTCATTTTGATCAGCCGCTTTTCTCAGGTTGCGTTAAAAATTACCAAAAAAAACAAAAACAAAAGACAGAGATAAATACTATATTTTTCATCTTCAAAGGCTACATCCTGAATGGCAATGCACAAATTCAGATAGTTGAAAGAACGTGCCAGTCAGACGGAAAATGGAGTGGCCATGAACCAACTTGTGAAGGTAAATTTCCATTGTGTTAGATGATAATATCATAATACCAAATCATTTATAAGGGTGATGTTCTGTTAATAAATTAAAAGCATTTTGGGTAAGATATAAATATCTAAAGGGATTAACATGACCAAATTATCTTCATGTCTATGATTCTTGTGATAATCCATCGGAAGTTATTTCTTTCCTTGTGTATTTTATAAATTCTCTAAAAATTACAGAACAATCTTGACTGGTTATTACACTACTCACACATTCGAAATCAAAACAATATTTCTTTTACTGGGTTTGCATCGGGCATCTAAAATAGGATTAAAAAGAGATATATTTTAAACAATGTTCAATTTGTAGTACTAGCACATGCGAAAATTATACTGACAAACACACACAGTATTAACTGGTCCTTTAGATCACCAGAGTTGTCAGGGTAAGCCTTTAGGTTGGTTGTATGTACTGTCGTGTTTTCACATTAGTTTGTTAAAACTTTGTTTTTGGGAGCACTTTGGAGCAAAACGTATGTTCAAATTCGAAACAGCCTGCCATGATTAAAATAATGAATTTAAAAGCCTCTAAAAGCGAGCAAAACAAGTAAAAATGAGGCAATGTATTGGATGAAGTATTTCCCGCGGTCAGATGATTGTCGGTATGACGGGGTTTTCTCTTTTGGCTTTTTAAAAATTTATCATTCACTTTAAATATATTGACACATTAATCAAAAAATAGATATTTGTTTGAAAGTGTCAAAGTCATATCAGCTTCCTAAATATTAGTAAGGCCTGGAAAACACAGACAAAGAACAAACAGACAGACAAGTCATATTAAAGATACCCATATGTTCCTCAACGGTATTTTAGGTATTTTGCAATCAAGTGAAACAACCATAAATGACAAATTGACAACGAGACGGGACGCGGATTGAAAGGCATCCTCTTGTGCGTTATTCGAAGAGATCCATGTTGGACTGTATGCTTTATATTAACAAACCATTATAACAATTCGACCTACTCACATTGCATTATCCTAACCAAACTTAATTCAACACATGTCATGTGAAATAAATCAAAAGTGTTTTAATAAAAACACAATACTTGCCATAAACAACACAAGTTTCATACACGACATGTAAGTCACTATGCGGATTTCGTGATTTTTTTACAAAACACGCTGCCTAAGTTACGTTTTAAACACTCCAGGATAACGTGTGTTTTTTTTTCTATTCAATCTATACGATTTCATTAAAATGTTGTTATCGAAGAGAAGGTAAAATATATGTGCTTATGAATAAATATACCTATTAAAGTGGAAATTTTTTTTAAAGTATTAATCGAATAATGCTGTAATTTTGAACACGCGGACATTTTCGTAATTCAGTTCTAACATGATGCATTTTGTCATGTACGAGGCTTAAAGCTGTTAAAATTCGTCATTTTGTTAATACATAAATACTTCACATAAAATCTTGTAAATAAATCTATGTCCAATATTGTTTATTTTAATTTGTTCCTTTTTTAATTCGCGCACCCTCATAATTTATCTTCTTCGACACTGATAACAGCATAAAATTATGGAATGAAATAAAGCAATCTCGAAACAAATGCTAAATTTAAAAAAAAACACTTTCTTTTCGGTATGCCAATGTTTGATTGGTTTAGGTTCTTTATATAATGTATATAACAGTAAGATAATGTAAAAAAAAAACACTTTATTTTTCCCAATGCTAAATATTACTCTTTTCTGGCTAAAATATGATAAACAAGATCAACAAGGAAAGGCGGCGTTCAATGAACGCAACCCCATTCGACCCAGCAACAAGAACTAGTGGCAAGGAGCCCAGGCGGACCGCAAGCAAAAACAAGACAGAGCACAAGACAACCTGTTTAATTTGTTTTAAATGCTCTAAATCAGCTAAACGGTTGTGTCCAACGTAAATTGTGTATACGTTATCATCTGCTAATTCTTAAGTAGCAATTTGACGATATAGATTTATTTTTGTTTAAACATTCTATATTTTTCACATTCGCAATTCATTAAAACAATCTGTTTTATATTTTTAGCAATTTCATGTCCAACACTCTCTCTCAATTACAACATGGCATTCTATTCCAAAGCAAAAAGGATGCCCTTGCAAAAAACTATGGAAGTATTGTTAAGTACATCTGCGATACGGGTAAGTATTTCTGTAGTGTCAGTGCACTATATTTCCAAATTCAAACAGTGCAAATATTAGTTATCAAGTAGATAACTTTGTTCTCTAGTGTAGCACACGACGAAATTATTTCAGCATATGAATATCTTACAGATATTACAGATCTTTATAAAAAACAGTCTGATCTAACACTTGTCAGAATTATTACTTTTTCTGCATACATAAACGTCCAAATAAGAAAGACATTAACTAATTCAATAGAATTGCAATTCGACATATATAACAATATATGTTATAAATTGACATATACCTGTCTTTAGATTTCACAAGCCTTGGTTCCAATTTGTGATTCTTTTCGGAAATCGACTATATATCTATCAGAAACGGTGATATGCTCTTATAAAATAGTAGGGACGAGTAAACAAAGCCATTCAATCCTTAGATATCAGACAAAATTTTTACATCTATATCTGCTTTTTAATCTAAAGATATAAATATAAATTTAAAGTTCTTTGCCAAGGAACGCAAATTCATTTTGCTTAATACGTCAGTTTTTACAAATAATGCAATACCATAAATATTGAAAGTGTCGCCATACCCACAAACTACAACAACATTACATATAGATGTTGTGTTATGGAACGCTGTGACCGTCTTATGTGATCAATGTTTTTGCTATCTTGTGAAACGATTATATTATTTTATCGTTTAAGCATGTTAACATGTGCAATTCACATCATGCCTTGTCCAATTATCATTATGACATGTGCAGACAACATGTTTACTTGTCAAAGTATCGTGATGACTTTTGCAAATAGCATATTTACTCGTCAAAATATATAATGACTTGTGCAAATGACTTGTTAACTTGTCAAAGTATAATGATGACTTGTGCAAACGACTTGTTAACTTGTCAAAGTATTGTGATGACATTTGCAAAGGACATGTTTACTTGTCAAAATTTCATGATGACATATGCAAACGACATGATAACTTGTCGAAATATCGTGATAACATGTACACAAACATGTTAACTTGTCAAAGTATAGTGGTGACTTGTGCAAATAATATGTTAACTTGTCAAATTATCATGATGACTTGTGCAAACAACATGTGAACTTGTCAAAGAATCGTGATGACTTGTGCAAACGACATTTATTCTTGTATCACGCTGACATGTCAAAATCACTGTCAAAGTATTATGATAACTTGTGCCAACACCATGCTAACATGTTCAATTATCATGATGACATGTGCAGACAGCATGCCAACTTGTCAAGGCATCATGATGATTTGTGCAAACATTATGTTAACTTGTGAAAGTTACCTGATAACTTGGGCGAAAAACATATTAACTTGTCAAAATTTCATAATGACATGTGCAAACAGCATGTTAACTTGTCGAATTATCGTGATGACATGTGCAAACAGCATGTTAACTTGTCGAATTATCGTGATGTCATGTGCGAAGAACATGTTAACTTGTCAAAGAATCATGATGACTTGTGCAGACAACATGTTAACTTGTCAAAGTATCATGATGACTTGTGAAAACGACATGTTAACTTGTCAAAATTTTACGATGACTTGTGCAGACAACATGTGTGTTTGTCGAATAATCATGATGACATGTGCAAACAACATGTTAATTGTCGAATTATCGTGATGACAAGTGCAAACAGCATGTTAACATGTCAAAATTTCATGATGACATGTGCAAACAGCATGTTTACTTGTCGAATTATCGTGATGACATGTGCAAACAACATGTTTATTTGTCAAAGTATCATGATGACGTGTGCAGACAACATAGTATCTTGTCAAAGTATCATGATGACATGTGAAAACGACATGTTAACTTGGCAAACTTTCATGATGACTTATGCAGACAACATGTTAACTTGTCAAAGTATCGTGATGACTTGTCCAAAACACATGTTCAATTCTCAAAGTATCATGGGCATGTCATCACGCTAATTCGTCAAGTAAACATGCTGTTTGCACATGTCATTATGAAATTTTGACAAGTTAACATGTCGTTTGCAGATGTCATCATGATACCTCGACAAGTTAACATGTCGTTTGCACAAGTTGTCATGGTACTTTGACAAGTTAACATGTTGTCTGCACATGTCATCATGATTATTTGACAAGTTAACATGCTGTTTGAACAAGTCAGCATGGTATTTTGACAAAATATGATGTAAAATGCACATGTTAATATGCTTAAACGACAAAAGAGTATCATTATTTTACAAGATAGCAAAAACATTGATTACTTAAGACAGTGATGGCGTTCCATAGTGTGTTAAGTGTAGGATACTTGATCGGATATAACATATTTGTATTCAGCATATTATAAAATACACTGCAACAATTTCTATTCATCATAATTATAGATGTTCATATTAAATTGCGTAAAAAAGATCAACATATTTGTTCAAGAAATATGAGGATCATTGTTATTTCTTGAATTTCTTTTTTAGAGAACGATTTTTGTATTTTCTGATCGACGATCAGGAACTACAAAGTTAACATTCAATCTCTGACACAGCGGTTCACGACAAACCCAACAACATGTTGTTCACAATCCAGCTTAAACCTAGTTATCACTGCAGGTGATCCTATATCAATATCACATAACATCCTATTTAATTCGTCCTGGTAGTGCGTGTATAAGTGGTTCTGTCTCGCGACAGTCAATATGTTAATCCTCGCCAGGTTTAGCGTTTAGCATACGACTTATTTAAGATTAGATATATCTGAATCGTTATTTTGATAAACTATTTAAAGGGAGTCTGCACATCGTGCTACAGTTCTGGAACTTGTAAGATATGGGACTTCATTAAATGGCAACTATCATTTTACAAGCAACATATTTTACCACATAAGAATGTGCCTGTTGGAATAAAAATATACATTTTGATCAGCCGCTTTTCTCAGGTTGCATAAAAAACAACAAAAAACAAAACCAAAAGACAGAGACAAATACTCATGTTGTTTCATCTTCAAAGGCTATATCCTGAATGGCAATGCGCAAATTCTGATAGTTGAAAGAACGTGCCAGTCAGACGGAAAATGGAGTGGCCATGAACCAACTTGTGAAGGTAAATTTGATAAAGATGATAATATCATGATACCAAATCATGTATAAGGGTGATGTTCTGTTAATAAATTAAAAACATTTTGGGTAAGATATAAATATCTAAAGGGATTAACATGACCAAATTATCTTCATGTCTATGATTCTTGTAATAATTCACCAGAAGTTATTTCTTTCCTTGTGTATTTATGACTTATATTTTTTACATTGATTCGGAATAATAAGCAAAATAATTATATCCCATCCATCGGTGAATAAGAAATCGTTCATTTCATAAAAAATAAGAGCCAAATACAGCGTTGTTCTCGTAAGAAACCACAATTCAGTTACAGTTTTGAAAAGATAATTATTAGAATACAATTTGAAGTATAAACTCCCTTAACACAGGATTTTTATAACAGTGATATGACAATATTTTTTGTTTAAAATTCCAAAAAGGGAAACAAAATTATAGTATTCTTACATTTGTTAAAGTGAATAAAAAAGCATAAGGTGAATTTGAGTCATGCAACTAACACTGGTGAAAGAACTATTATCAATAAGGGAAGCGTCTTAACGTTACAGTTAAATCATTTTAAACCTAAAACGAGCAATAAATAGTGAAATTTTAAATGAGTTAAACTATTTTTTCCGTTTGTTTTAATTGCTCTTCAACAACTAAATTGCTGTATTTAAATTCAAATTGAACTTTAATGTACCATCATACGCAATCCTTTAAATACAATTTAAAGCTATTAATTGATTGACTAGAAATACTGTTTGTAATTGATTCATGTTACATGTTCTTTATTCAGAATTTTTTCCAACTTTCAACTTTCATTTAAGCAATCGTATGTCCAACACTGTCTCGAATACAAATTGGCAGGCTACTCCGAGACACAAGTAATGGCTTTGCAAATAACTATGAAACTGAAAATGAGTACACCTGCGATAAGGGTAGGTAGATAATTGGCTCCTCTCAAGTTTTCACTTTGCCTTTAGATCAAATAGATTATTTAAAGTAAATGCATTATGTATGTTTTGTGAAAGTACATTAGCTATGATATTTGGCAGGTTGCAATCCTTAGTAGACCCGTCTTTGTGGTAAGTTAGTTATTTAAAAACGCGTATAAGTCTTCTTTTTAGAAATTAGAATAGACCGCTTACAAAGGTGTGTAATAAATGTTCTAGGGTTAACCATGATCTCGCCCTTGCTAACGGTTTAATATAGTCAATGTTTTCAAGTCTTCTTCTCCTCTCTTCCTTTTCTACGTCTTCTCTACACTAATTTCATAAGTTATATATTTGGCATTAACAATCATCACTTTGTAGCTTCTGAATCTTGTCCTAATAAATTCAATTGGTGATTTAGTTTATTTAGACTTAAATACGAAAATATTCTTAAAGTTTTCTTTCCAAAAACTACCAGGCAAGAGTTTAGATATGCTGCATTTATTTTTTTGTAGCAGATAATCTAAAATTATGTAGCTTTGGTAAAAAAAAGCAAACCCAATTATTAATTTTTGCTGTCAATAATATTACCTGTTCAACCTCAGTTTAGCAACCTTAGTCCACGATGGCCTGTTTTTAAATAACTACACCGTTTGTAGGTTCAAACCGATGTTAAGTATTATTGTTTTTGTAGGTATGTGTGTTAAACAAGTTAAAAGAGAAATTGTAAGGTTAGCAAAGAGTGGAAGCCGTCCTGCGATTGAATTGCAACGCTACGCATGCAACTTTGGAAACTATGGTTAGTTATAGGTCAATAAGATTCCTAATGGCGCTAAAATATTGCGGTAAATATGGCACACACTAAGACAAACAGAAATAACATTAAATTGTGGCATAGTTACCATGAACAGGAAAAATATAATAAAGATAGCAAAGGCGAATTGTTATACTACTTCTTTAAATGAGTATGTTGTTGCAATATTTTAAATAGCATAATGAGAAGGAATTAAACGTAAACATTTCTGATCAAATTTGGGAAAATTCCGTACACAATACAGGCTATTCTTTTTATTCAATACCGTTTATATTGGAATGTTAAATTTTTCATATACATGTATAAGATAATAACAATAATTGAGTGGCATGTTTTTCAAAAAGTCAAAGACGGATATTCGGAGTTTTTGAGGCGAGAAAAATGTATAATGTAAGTTTATCCGTTAATCCCGTTTTAAAAATAATTAATATATAGATATAAGTTACATTGTCAGCTTTTTAGATAAATTACTTGTATATTTCAGCTGTACGCGTTAGAATAAAAGAGGTTACATATAATGACAAAACACAAATGACTGCAATCGGCATTGTGATGGCCAGTTTGATTCAAGGTAAACATAGCTATCGTCATCATGACTATATCACTATTAAAGCAATAACTATCATTATGTTCGACCGTCATCATCATCTTCGTCAATAACATTATTAATTTTATTAAGTATATGTTTTTAAATTATTTTACTCAAACCATTTTAACTATTATATCTTTATGAATTGTGTAAGAGTATATTCACTATGAAAGGTTTATATGATGGCATGAATTTAATAATTCTCAAAGCCTTATCATAAACGTGTTGATGTTCATTTTTGTAATGCTAAAACTTGGCTCTCGTCTAATGATTTCAATTAAGAAGGTCATTTTTAATTGCCAAGTATCCTTAAACTAAAAATAATTATTATAATCATTCAGCCGAAGTAAAACTAGTACCCTTGCACAATTACGTTTTTCTAAGTTTTCGATACATAAACTTATACTTATATATTTAAATTAGTTCATTGAAAGAATAATAAAGAACTTTTAAACATTTTTATTACTTTCATTTAGTTTTATTTTATAATGGCAAGAACTATCCTTTAAAGATCCTGTAACACAATTTGTTTATGGTTTTAAATCATAAATATGACGCTTAAATTGAGATTTATCAATATTGTATGTTTCAAAAAGCATTATTTATAAAGATATTACCGAATTTAACATTTCATGTAAATAAAGGGAGGTAATAAAAAATCATTTTCTATAAAGTTTAAGTCAAATTTTACAATAAGAAACATATGCATATATATTTAATGATTACATGTTACATGTACAAAAATTTGCAGTACGTATATTTTATATATTCTTCGATGTTTGAAAATTGTTTTATTTGTATAATTATGAACACATATATGATTTCACTTAGTGTGGTTAATCACTTTTATCACAACATACAGGGTCTTTAAATTTTATTTTAGAACTATATTACATATTCCTTTTTGAATGGAAAGAACTGCCCTTTACATTTTATTTAAGACTGGCCGTTGATATGCCAATATTTTAGTTTGATTTCTTGGAAAGGCCAATGGAAATTCTTCTTATATTCGTCCCTGTAAATTGTACAGGAAATCAAACCGAATTTAGATAGCGGGCGAAACATTCTGTTGACGTCTGTTTGATACAATTGTATTTGCCATTAAATCTAGTGTTACTAAGTACACAAATGTGTGTATTTAAATGAAAGGTTTTTAGAAGGTAAAATATTGAAATAGATCTTTATATCAATTTTTTGCGGGTATGTAATACAATAAATAGTTGCATTGATATTTTATCAGTATTAAGTATCACATAAAGCATATACAAAGAAAGAAATATAATTGTAGGATACGGTTATTAATTGTTCTAGATCAAAAATTTATTATTCAACATATACATTAGGTTCATGTAAAATCAGTACGACCTTTATTAACATTATTTTCTAGCAATATTTGAAAATATCAAGATAGAACGTTTCTATTGATTTCATCAATATTTGAAATTTGTTATTCATCAGAAAGATGAATGCTACATAATACATCGATATGGCTGTAATAGATGCACCTAATAAATTTATGTATCAACAATGGCAATCGTTTTCCAAATATCTAAAAGAGCGATCATTGACCACACGTGTCGTCTGGTGAAAGTTAGTTATGCAATTGTATTTAAGGGTGATTGACCAGTCTGTTCCATATAATTTGCGGCTACTTTTTAGCATGTTGCAAATTTTTTAGCAAGAGACACAAACATCTTTAACAGGCCAAAACACTTTTTTATAATCATTTAACCGAAAAGAACTCGGTAGATATATGCAAGTATTAAAGGTATTGATAAATCCTTTAAAGTTCAATTCAATTTTTACAATCACTTTGAAAGATGCAGTCCGAACAAAACTTGTATGAGTAAAAATGATTAAAAGGCTTTAACAAATCATTGTAATGGAAAATCCCGACACCTCCTGGCACGTTTTGTTAAGGCCGGCAGGACGGACGGACATACTGATGGGCAGATATGAAAGAAATATGTTTTCATGGCTACACACTCGACATATTTCACATGTTTTGCCATATTAGCAAAAAATCATATACAAACTGTTGCAAAGTGTTTAAATTGCTATGTTTTTACTGTTTGTAAATATCTATTTAATTTAGGGGCCTTTTTGTGTTTCATTTATACAATTGCATGAAAGTCAAATATACAAATAATCAAAAGGATCTCAAAACAATCACAATCTTTTGATAAGATACTTATTGATACAACCTCTGACCTCCGATGTCCTATAAGTACCAGTATAATGTTTTAATGTATCATTTAAAGGAATTAAATTTAAATTTAATCAGGTTTAAAATAAGTAAAGAGTCAGGGACAAACTTCATTTATTCTGTTTTGAAAATTTTTAAAATTGCATGTATGTCAGAAGATTCCATAAACCTAGAACTAGACGCAAGAGAGAATAGATGCTCATGTGGTATTTATTTACATGTAAATATAAAGTCAAATTCGTTTACTTAAAGTACATATTAGAATTTGTTTAAACTTAAAAAATATTTTCAATTTCATTTTAGCATTTTTCACTATGCAAACCTTATGATTTAAGTACACGACGATTATAAGGGTTAAATTTGTTTGAATGGTTAAGTGGTTAACAAACCTTTTTCTGTACCGGCAACACTATATAAGTTGCTATTTTCTTGTGCAAACACACCTTAACCGTTTTTGCTTCACGGTGCACTAGGCCTGGCGTTCAGAAAAAAGTACTCAGCTCATCAGAAATATTAAATTTGTATGAAAACATCCGTTACAATGCGTAAATATACCGTTAAATTAGGACTGCTACTTATAGTCATGTTTGTTGATTTAATATTGAAGAACGGATGATCTGAAGGCAGAGTTTCACATGCAAACAGAAAGTGTACTTCCCATTTCGCCATAATGACGTTGCAGATTTTATGCTTATAAAAGTCATTTTGGTTGTCTGGAGACCAAAACAAGATCTGGAGTCGATTTGAAACCCAATTTATCAATGAAATGTCGCTATTTCTGTTTTCATGAAATTTATTTAATGTAGCTTTAACAATAAGTACATCCTTACAAACACAAATTTAATGTTTAGCCGACAGCACTTTTCTACACCTCGATGAGCCATCAACTGTTATTATACTTAAGTCGTTATTACTTTAGAGGACAAATGTCATAATGATGGACACATATCGCAACAGGTTGAAAACTGCATTCTTCGGGGGTGTTTCTGTGGTGACTTACTGATACGCGGAAATAATGTAAACGCAGAAAAGGCAATTATACGATAGTTTGGAATAGTTTATGCCATGTTTTCACAGCATTGTATTTGTAACGTCATATTACAGGAATAGAGGATCTTCAAAAAGAAGACGAAATGTTTTTTCACTCGAATATCTCATGTCGATTCCAAGAATTGGAACAAGGAAAAACCTATATAATTACAGGCTACGATGGCAACAAGTTTCGCGATGATGAAGGTCATGTTAGGTAAGCAAAATACCTGTAAATTTTAAATACTTTGTTTTAGGCATTTGTTTTGCAAGAATTAGGATCGTGCCATAAGTGTAAATTACAAATACTTTTAAAATTCCAGATGAATTATGTAACTAAGTATCATTTTTATCAAGCAGTATGCCCATTTCATGTCAAAATCTTTTTTTTCTTCTTTACTGACGCTGTTATTATATATCAAATTAATGTATGGAATTGATAAATAAGTAGTTCATAAATTAGGATTTGTTATAACTTTACTTTGTAACAAGAACATTACATCGTGTGATGAAAGTTTAAGACCATAAAATATTTCTTTAAATGGACTTAACAATAAAACGTAGTCAGCAAATGGCAGCATTTCGCTTTATATTTGTTGCTGCGAGGGACGAGGGATCTCTCAGTTTTTACATTGTTACATTACAATACTTCTCATGAACAATGAACAAAACCAAGGTTTCAATTTTCCACTATTTGTTTTGTTTACCTTACTCTGAATCGATTCGTTTTAGCCGTATTTAAACGATAATCTTGTGTCACCAAAAAAAAAAGATTAAAATTTAAAAAAATAATAAAGTTTATTGGTCGCAAAGTACTTACATAGTGATTATATTGCACGTTTTGTTTGATTTAGTCTTTTTTACACACGGCAGTAAAAAATGCCAGCCATCGTTTATGACCCCAACCCTCCTCGGTCACCAGAATAAGTAGATTTCTTTGTATGAACATAGAACTAATGTGTCATTCTAACCTAATAACCTAAAAGAGATCCCTGAGAAACCATTTAACATGTTTAAACTTGCAATACATTTTGGAGAACATGTGGCTAAAGAACAGTTAACACTATTTTCTTTTTATTTTCAGGATCGTGTATCCTATAATGGGAACAACATTAGTCATGGAGTATATAAGCCCCCAGCAGTATAGGGTTGATAGAAGAAATTATGATATACTTTATAAGGTCCAATCTAATTTCGAACACATAATGTCTAGTGGTTGTCCAAACAAGTAATAATTGGTGTCGAATGTTTCATGTAAACTCAAGGGTTTTCGACCAAAATCATAAAAGAAAGACAAATATGTGTTGTTTTCTGTGTGTGCGTGTGCGCACGTGTGCGTGTTTTATTGTTAAATACATATATATACATTTTATAGTGCAAATGAATGAGAAATATATTGAAACTAAGTGATCCCTCTGTAGTATCATCGTACATGATGAACTTGAGCTGACCTATGTATTATGCTTGTTTGCGCATGCTCCATATTTTCTAGTAAATCTAAGATCACATGTTAAGGGTTTACAGAATAAATTTATATCTTGTGCTGAACACTCGTCGTGTTTTACTTTACTTCATTGTATCAACGCACTTGGTTTAATTTCTATTACTTATTGTTCATTAATAAACGAACATTACAACATGGTGTCAGAAGAAAAACGATTTATAAATAACCTGGACATACAATACAAAAATTGGAACATTATCTCAAGAAATAAAGTTGCACAATTAAATTAATATTTGAAAACAAAATGAAATTATCTGGATTGTCAGTGCCCCAAATGGACTGGGAATCTTCGAATTTACCTAAAGCTTACAATAAATTCGAACGTCACGCAAAGCTAATGTTTACAGGACCTTTGAAAAAGAAGTCTGAAGAAGAACAAGTTTCTTACTTTTTGTTATGGATTGGAGATAAAGGGCGGGATATCCACTGCACGTGGAAAGATATTTCTGAAGACGATGCCAAAAAGATCGACACGTTCTACAGAAAATTCAGAACTTATGTGCAACCTAAGCTCAATCCAATATTTGCTAGATATAAATTCTACAATCAAACACAGGGAGAAGAAACCATCGATTCGTTCTTGACAAAATTACAAATCTGTGCACGAGACTGCAGTTTTGCAAACACAGACGAAATGATACCGGACCGTATTGTATTTGGCACAAATTTTTCTAAGGTTCGGGAAAAGCTCATTAAAGAATGTGCAGAATTGACCTTAGATAAAGCTGTACAAATCGCTCAAAATATGGAATATTCCAAACAGCAATTATTGAGTTCAATGGCATCTGCGGCGGACAAGGACGTTCACCAAGTGACAAGGCCTAGAAAACGTTTAGTCCGAAGGCGGGAAAAGCCACAAGACAGTGACGGGAAAGTGACCTGCTCCAGATGCGGGACAACACATCAAGAGGGCAAAACGGGTCCAGCGAAGGGGAAAACGTGCAGAAAATGTGGCAAACTGAATCATTTCCAGAAAATGTGTAAATCACGTAATACTGTGAACAATATAAATTGTGAGTCGGACTTATCGAGTGACGATCAGGATTTCTATGTATGCACGGTAAATGATTTCAATATTTCTCGACCTGATTGCGCAATGGTTAAACTCCAAATTGGCCAAAAGTCCGCCCCTGTAAAATTCAAAATAGATACAGGTTCTCAATGTAACTTGATACCTCAGGAAATGCTCAAGAAACTAGATTTCAAAGGCCCCTTGCTACCCTCTGATGATAGGTTATCTTCCTACACAAAAGACCCTATCCCAGTTTATGGAAAGGTCAACTTACCCTGTAAGTTCAAGGATAAGGAAATCATTGCATGCTTTCATGAAGAATGCAGTAAATCTCCAGCATTATTAAGCTTACAGACTTCAATAGATTTGAGATTGATAAAACTGACCTATGCTATAGAAAAACAACCGGTCACGTTAGATAAACAAAAAATCTTGACTGATTACAATGACGTATTTAAAGGCATTGGTTTATTTCCAGGTACATGCAGTTTACATTTAAAACCAAAAGCTGTACCTGTAATTTGTCCATCCAGGCGTGTACCTGTAGCTTTACAGGACCGTTTAAAAATGAGTTGAAGTCTATGGAGGATAAAGGAATTATCCAAAAGGTTACTAGACCGACTGACTGGGTCAATTCATTAGTCTGTGTGGAAAAACCTAGCACTGAAAAGCTTAGGGTGTGCTTAGATCCTAAAGAGGTGTGCTTAGATCCTAAAGCACTAAATGACAATATTATGAGACCGCACTACCCTATGAGGACTATAGAAGACGTGACAAATCAATTGACTGGTGCTAAGTACTTCAGTGTATTAGACGCAACGAAAGGTTATTGGTCGATAAAATTAACGGACGAATCCTCATATTTGACGATATTTAATAGTCCCTTCGGCAGATACCGATATTTGCGGCTTCCTATGGGTATCAACAGTTCCCAAGACATATTTTGTCAAAAAATCTACGAATTCTTCGAGGACGTGACGGGCGTGACGTCAAAAGTAGACGATCTTCTTGTGTACGACGGACTATCGAAGAGCATGATGCAAACCTGACACGTGTTTTGGACCGAGCACGTGAAAGGGGTATTAGGTTTAACCCAGACAAATGTGTTATCTGCTCTCAGGAAGTTAAATACTTTGGTCACGTACTGACAGCTGACGGTCTTAAGCCCGATCCCGAAAAAATCAGGGTAATTGTAGAAATGAAAGCCCCAGAAAAAAAGTCAGATATAGAAACTATTCTTGGCATGATCACGTATCTGTCAAAATTTGATTCAAAATTGGCATAAATGGTAAGCCCTATGCGTGGCTTGTTGAAAAAAGACATTGAATTTATATGGGACAATGCGCAAATGGACGCCTTTGTAAAGGTTAAAGTCGCAATGACTAAGGCACCAGTCTTGGCATACTATGACCCGAAAAAGCCTGTCACATTGCAAGTCGACTCGAGTGCACGTGGTTTAGGTTGCACGTGCTTACAGGACGGCAAGCCCATTGCATTTGCATCAAAGAACTTGACCCCTACAGAGAGAGGCTATGCTCAAATAGAAAAAGAGACATTAGCTATACTTCATGGTCTTCGACGTTTCAAGCAATACTGTTACGCAAGACATAATAAAGTTGAATCTGATAGCAAACCTGTTGTTTCCGTTATGAAAAAAGAAATATGTCGGGCGACCCCCAGACTACATGTACAACGTCTCTTATTACAGATTCAACAGTTCGACATAGAAGTCGTACATTTTAGCGGGAAAAGCATTCCCGTAGCGGATACATTATCCCGTCATTTTGTCAAGGACACGTATCCAGAATTGTCTGACGGACTTGACGTGCACGTGCACACGGTTATTAATAGTTTACCGGTTAGCGACGGAAAATTACAAGACCTCAGACTTTCCACACAGCAAGACAGTCAGTTTCAGACACTGAAACAAACAATTATTGACGGCTGGCCTGAATCTAGGCATGAGTGCCCGAATTCCATTTTAGAATTTTGGAATCATCGGGATGAACTCTCGACTGTAAATGACATAATTTTCCGCAGTCAAACATTGGTCATTCCAAGTTCATTGCGAACTGAAATGATTAACGCTGTTTATGTAGGTCATATGGTAGTGAATAAAACGCTGAACAGGGCCAAGGATATAATGTTCTGGCCAGACATGGTTAAACAGGTCACAAACCACGTGTTAGCATGCCCTTTATGCCTAACACACAGAGCATCAAATGTGAAGGAATCAATAAATCCCCACATTGTGCCCAAAAGACCCTGGCAACATATTGCCGCTGACTTATTTACGCTTGACGGACGTGATTACCTTATAACTGCAGACGTCTACAGTAATTACTTTGAAGTCGATGCATTGCCAGAAACAAAAAGTAAAACTGTTATTAGAAAATTAACAATGCATATGGCTCGCTATGGTCAAGTAGAAACATTGAAAAGCAATAACGGGCCACTGTTAAGCTCAGAAGAATTTCAAAAATTTGCTTCTGACTGGAATTTTAAATATGTAACATCCTCACCTGGATATAGCCGATCCAATGGTTTCATAGAAAAAATGGTCTCAATAGCCAAAAAGTCAATGAAAAAATGCCACGAGACCAAAACAGACCCATATTTAGCATTTCTGGAATATCGTAACACACCTTTAAACTGCGGCTATTCCCCCGCACAACTGTTAATGGGCAGACGGTTAAAATCCATTTTGCCTACAACTAATGAGCAATTGAAACCATCTTTCATTAACTACAAATCTGTCAAAAAATCTCTGCAAGAAAACAAGGTTACGCAAAAAGAACTATTACGATAAGAGTTCGAGGTCACTTCCCCCGCTAAGCAAAGATGACTCTTGCAGGGTACAATTTGGGAAAACTTGGAAACCAGCCCTAAAAAAGAAGGGGAGAGATCATACAAAGTGCAAACTGAAGATGGCGCTATTTACCGCCGTAATCGCTGCTTCATAAACAAAACGCGGGAAAAGTTCCCTATCAATACAGAGTCCTTCCCTAATATCCTCCACCAAGGTCAAGATCCTCATGATATAATCTCAAACAAAGCACCTTTAAATGAAACAGGTATTTCCCAGAATATTCAAAATCCTATTAGCCATGAAACAAGGTCATGCACAGATTATCAGACGCGCAGTGGTCGAGTAGTAAAACCTAATAAACGTTATAATACCGACGAATGGAGCACTGTTAATTAATCATCCGGAATTGATAGACATTATAATGTAAAGAAAAAAAGAGAGAACAGAAATAAAATAATAGTAATAATAATAAAAAATTGTGACTTTAAGACTATTTAAATTGTTCTCTTCAGTATGTATATGCATTTTTAATCATCATAATTGTTTATTATCATATACAATTTTATTAACATGTGTTGCTTTTTTTTTTCTTTTAAAAATAGTGAGATGTAGTATCATCGTACATGATGAACTTGAGCTGACCTATGTATAATGCTTGTTTGCACATGCTCCGTATTTTTTAGTAAATCTAAGATCACATGTTAAGGGTTTACAGAATAAATTTATATATTGTGCTGAACACTCGTCGTGTTTTACTTTACTTCATTGCATCAACGCACTTGGTTTAATTTCTATTACTTATTGTTCATTAATAAACGAACATTACAACACCCTCGGAAGCATTTAAACAGCAAAATTACATGAACATTGCAGACTCGGTTAGATTGAGTCTGTACAGAAGTCACGTTTTAGTTAGATGTATATTATTCACAGTATAGCTAAAGCAGCTTTACATTTTTACATTTCATTATTTCCTGTGAAACGCAAATTGCTATACATCAATTTGGTAAGAAAAACATTATACCGATGAGTTTCTATTCGTTTAAAATTCATCCAGTGTAAAGTTTTGTAAACTGTAACGGAACACTGAAAATAAAGAAGAGTAATAACAAATTATATCATTTGAAGGCTTAGATTGCCTTTAAGGTTGTCTTGCAACCAAATTATGACTGTATGATAATGTTTTCACGACGATCAGTGAAAATGTAAATTTTGCTCATAAAATTTTCACCGAAGCTCTAATAGTACAGTATTCCGTCAAGACATCAGTTTTTCACTTATGGTGTATATTATTTTGGTATGAGAAATATTATTGATGTAAATCTTTTGCCGAGGGTACCATTTTCGGGGTAAGGCTTTAATAACAATCAAACATAATTATCAAGTCGACAGTGCATGGGGGCATGAATATAAGTTTGCGTTGATCAAAGCCACCAATGAAAATGTCGTAAAAAAACAAGAACAAATAAGATTTTTATCAGATATTTTATATCTATTTTCATTAGAATAATTAATCAACACATACTGCAAAACAATACCTTTTTTCGAGAAAAATGGGTTAATTGCAAACACGTTTTGACTGTTGCTTATGGGTTGACATTGTTGAATAGCAAAGACTTCTTTATTTCATATTCTGATATTTATTATGTTTGCTCGACTGTGCATGATGAATTGGCTAATTGATGTAAATAGTCTATAGATATCTAACTAAGCAAATTTAGAAGAGTTGCAGACTTGGTTTGATCGAGCCTCAGTGTTAAATGCAACTTATTTTTGCAATATCTTGCAATATTATTATGAAAAAGATGATTACCTTAACCTGTAAAAGGTAATACTGTTTTATAAATAAAAAAACAAATGATTGCTTTTTTTCTGTTCTTTTTCTGATACTCAGATATTATTTTAATTAATTGTCTTAACCCTTTGACATATAAACTAGACAACATACGTTGGCAAACGTATAAAGTAAGCCATTTATATCTTTTGATAATATATAATGTCAAACTACTACCCCCTAAGTGCTTTCAACTCCAATAAAACAAAAGAGCTGCATATTGTGTGGGTATATGACAAATCGCTTTTTTGCTTCTTCGCTACTCGACATTATGCGCTTGCTAAAATGGAGCGGTAGAGCGTTTTATCGTAGACCTCCAAAAGACGTAGCTCTGTTGTTTACTACGAGTCGACATCATTTGGGGAATGTTTACTTTTAAATTAACATTCTTATGTTCACATTATTCTAATCTGATCTTATTGTTGTCATTATTCAACACTTTACCTGCAGGAACTTTAAATGTCAGCTATTACAACCATTATAGTATTATAGTAATACCAGTACAGCCTGTATATCATTTCAGTCTGATCAAGATAGATGTTGTTGGTGATGATATAGAAAGAATCCAGTTTCAGTTTAATACACCATTGATAGCAAATAATCCAGCGAAAAATTAAATATTTTCAATCACATGTACATGTACTTACAAACATAACTAGCAAAGTAATACACATAAAAATACTATACACGAAGTAATCAATGTTAATAAGACTCACACATATTCTCTTTATTTAACGCGTCAATAATTGAGCTTTTCCTCATCCAAAATATTAGATTTATTACAGCATGTACCGTCTGAACTTCTGTTAGCTTTTATACATTAACAGAATTCTGATCATATATTTTATATTACAACTCTGCAAAATGAGTTCTCTATAAAAACCCGAAGATCATAAACTGTGCGTTGTAATGTAATTGTTAACCTATATCTTTTTCTTTCTCTTTCATGCTATTTATCCAAGATAAAAGTTCTTCTGTGAGCTTTGTGAAGAATCCATATCTGCCGTTTTCCTTGCAGCCGAACCCAAATGAAAATATCCCTAAATAAGTAGAATGTTTGTTTATGTAATCATTTTCAAACAAGCAAAAATAGTTTTAGTTGCATAGAAATTTCAATTCGGTTAATATATTTTACCGGTATGCAGGATTTCAAATTGTTTCGTCTTCCTTTCTCGTCAAAAATGAATTTAAAATATACCTGTGATCAAAGTCATACTTGCTATCAACCGAACACATTAAGATAGTTATTTACGTTAGAATCTGTAACAATTATTGGTTTCATTGATTTTTTAAATATTTATAGAATAGAAATTTGAACTATGCCAAAGAAATTATAAAATACTTACCGATCTGAAGGAACTTGTTTTCCTCCAGTGGATGAGGTAAAAAAAAAAAGGACCACCATTATCTCCCTCACATGCGTCAATATTTTGGACCTTATCATCGACTTTTTCTAAAACCAATACGTTTTTTCAATTACTTTATGAAGTGACAAGTGAAATCATAACTGTCATTAACACAGCAAGCACGAACTAAGTGACAAACACCAGGAAGGTATGCCATAATGTAATTAAAATCAGCTGTTGATTCTTTTTTGTTCTGTTTAAATATTCTACACACATGTTGATATGACATTTATGCCAAACAATTATTATCACGAGTGCCAAAACATAGCCAAGTACTGTCCGGTTTTATGTAATGTATATATGTTGTCAAATGTTCGCCTAATAAGATTACTAGTACCTTGTCTTTAAGCATTACAACAAGTGGTTGAATTCATCTGGATAAAAGATGTAACTGACAAACCTTTTCCACCGGCACAGAACATAAGCTCAGTGCTAACATCAACCTTTTCTCTGAGCTTTAAGTTTTCCAGGCATTCCTTGGATGATTTAACTTCCATTTGCATTTGTTTTAGCGTTCCTGCATATTTCGTAGATTCCATGTTTCTTTTTCCCCAACCAGTGACGACACCGTATGTTTCAGTGAAAAGTTTATCATAGGTAACTCTTGTTTTGTCTAAAATATTTATCACATAAGAATCAATGTCTCAATATCAGGAAAGCACATGTGTTTGTAATTTTATAAAATGTTCTTGTTTAATAATGAAATCTTTGTTTGCTGCTACCTGTATTCATCAGTGTAATGAAAGCTTGTAATAGATAAGTGCTTGACTTTCCAAAATAAAAAAAAAATCGCTCTATATAATCATTCAATTTAAGTATTTATCAGCTGGCCACATAATACAGTCTTAAAAATCAAAAACTTTCCTTGAAGAAAACACAGCTTGCTTTTTTGCTTCTGTTATCATATTTAAGACAAAAGGAAAGGTGAAAAAAATGTATACTATTTATGTGATGCCTCTTGTGTATAAACCAGAATCCCAAAAAGTACGACAAAAACGACACAATTGAAAATATTACAGGCTCGGTTTGATTGAGCCTGTTCATGAACGGTACTGGAAAATGCAAGATACCGTGCACGCCCCGTAGCACCGCTTAAGTAGAATTCAAAATTTAATCATGAAAATGGTGAAATTTAAATTTGGAAATATTCGCAGACGTAGAGTACTATTTGATTGCTCACTAAATATTCTTAATGACGCAAAATGTAAAACTGTTGGTATTTATTTAAACGAGTAGACATTTTTTGCCAGAAACATAGTGCAATATGGGAAATTATTGATCATATTATAAGCACTCATATCTGCAATAATTACACTAAAAGCATCAATGTAACAACCATAAAGCCTGTGTGCAATCTTATTTCGTTTATTCAAAAACCCTTTATTTCATCAAAACGAAAAATTATTTTCTTCAAATCTGATTAATTGTCAACGAAAAAAACCCATTAAAATCTTAATATGTGTATACTATCGTACATTAGCTATGCTAACTTCTGAGTGCAAGTAAAAATCATAATAATTGTATTATAAAGGAAATCAGTTATAATTTCCTTCTATCATAGCCTAAATCCAAACTCAACTTAACCAAACTCAACTTAGTTTAACTTATCTATCTTTATCTTATCTATTGAATATGCACAAGCAATTACTTGTTAGCTAGACAAGGTTGTTCAGTGAACTGGTTTCATTCATTAAAATGTATTAAAATTAAAAGTTCAAAAACAAAGTATACCTTCAATGGTTTTGTCCCATAAGCAAACTGGCAGCAGGTCGGGTATCCGATCTATCCTTTTATCAAGTTTAACCAATGCAATGTCATACAGTTTTTTAGGTTTATTTTCTTCGTTGTATTCTGGGTGTACATATATATTTCTCTGTAGTATATCTCGCTCTTTGAAGTAATATTGGTCATTCAACTTTAGTTTTTCTAAAAATTAGAGTTGATTTTTTAAATACATTTGCAGCATTACTCTGTACACAATCTGTAAGATTTTACTTTTATCAAAACATAACTTTACCACTACAATTTACATTCATACATGTAAGTATTTCTAATAATTATTGTGTTTTGATAACTATATCTTGCCTATTATTTCACTTAATTTAAAACACATAATGGTTCAAAAGTTCTTGTTCAATGTTCTTACAAAACTAAAAAGTATTCAAAGATGTTCTGATTGCCATTTTAACAAAATAAAATCTCACGACAAAATTTATATTAGTAGTTGAGAGTTTATCAAATCTTAAAACGTTTTTGCCAATGCCATTCATAAGTTTAAATTTTATCCTACAATATAAAATCACTAACAATAACTCTACAATAAGAAACTTCAGTGGAAGCGTTCATTTAAGATCGATACTGATGCACTATATCTGTTTCCGGTATAAAATGTGAATAAAATCTGGTAATTAGGTGTTTTATTTATAGTTTGATCACAGCCATTTTACTAGTTCCCTTAACAGATCGAGATACGGTCGGAAGAAATAAATTGATGCAACGATTAAAACACATGTTTCCACCTATTGAAAATTTGAATATAGATCTAGGTTATCCAAAAACAAAGTATTTTACGTTATTGCTGTGGTCATAATATTTAAGTGACATACCAAAGAAATACTGGTATAAAATAAATTCTTTTCTACTTACGTAGGTAATCAGTATGTAAAGTTGTCAAACTCCTCTGCAAAAGTATGCATGTTAAGTATGTTAATACGGATTATTTTCGTATGGATATCACTGATTATAAACTGTTAGCCTTCGTTGAAATTCAATTATGATTTTATTTCTGTATTTTATTTGGACAATTTACTCACTCAAGTGAATTTTTGAAACATTTTGAAAGACGCAATGAGCAGCAGTTAGGATCCACTGCTCTCTTATAAGAGAGCCCCCGCATACGTGTGCATTCTGCAAGAAATAAATAAGATAGATTAAGACATATGATTAGAAATTAGCATTTCAAAGGCAAAGTAGTCATACATATCTTCATTCCTTATTTATTTATTTATTTATTTGTTAGTCCTATAAATTAAACTTTGTTATTTGTGCTTGCAATTAACGTTTTAAACAGGTCGTTTTATTTCAAACACTTAATAAACTTAGAAATAAGATACCCGAATTCAAAAACATTCAAAAACATTAGAATGTTCTCATTCTTATAATGCATTTCCCATTTTCGAATACGACGGAGTTGCTGCAACATTAAAACAAGAGGGCCATGATGGCCCTGAAGTCGCTCACCTGTATATAGGCCTCTGGAGCAGAGCCAGTTTAACCCCAGGGCTTTTATTTGAACAAACTTGGTAGACACCCATTAAAAGATGTTTCATGCTAAACATCTAAGGTCTAGCTCGTTGGGTTTTTCAAAAGAAGATTTTTAAAGATTGTTCTTATATATTTAAAAACAATGACACCCCTGGGGCAGGGTCAGTTTTGATTCCCAGGGCTTTTTTTGAACAATCTTTGTAGACACTTACTAGAAAATGTTTCATGCTTAATATATAAACTCTAGCTATTCGGGTTATTGAAAGAAGATTTTTAAGTCTTGCGATACACAAATAAAGAAAATCAATTTCCCCCAGAGCGGGCCAAGGGCTTTTATTTGAACAAAATTTGTAGACACTCACTAGAAGATGCTTCATGCTTAATATCTAAACTCTAGCTATTTGAGTTTTTTCAAGAAGATTTTTTAAGTTTTTGCTATACACATAATTATCAGGAAAATAAATGACCCCTGGAGTGGGGCAAGTTTTGACATCAGGCTTTTATTTGAACAAACTTTGTAGACACTCACAAGAAGATGTTTCTTGCTTAGTATCTAATCTCTAGCTATTTGTTTTTTTTGTTGTTTTTTTCAAAGAAGATTTTTTAAGTTTTTGCTATATACACACAAAAGGAAAATCAATAACCCCCGGGGCGGGGCCAAATTTGACCCAAGGGCTTTTAATTAAACAAACTTGGTAAACATCCATTAGAACATGTTTCATGCTAAATATCTTAGCTCTAGCTCTTTGGGTTCTTTAAAAGAAGATTTTTAAGTTTTTACAATATGCATATAGGGAAAATCAATGACCCCCTGGGGCGGGGCCAATTTTAACCCAAGGGCTTTTATTTGAACAAACTTGGTAGATATCCATTAGAACATGTTTCATGCTAAATATCTTAGCTCTAGCTCTTTGGGTTCTTTAAAAGAAGATTTTTAAGTTTTTACTATATGCATATACGGAAAATCAATGACCCCCTGGGGCGGGGCCAATTTTGACCCAAGGGTTTTTTATTTGAACAAAATTGGTAGACATCCATTAGAACATGTTTCATGCTAAATATCTTAGCTCTAGCTCTTTGGGTTCTTTAAAAGAAAAAAATTAAGTTTATACTATATGCATATAGGGAATATCAATGACCCCAGGGCTTTTATTTAAACAAACTTGGTAGACACCCATTATAAGATGTTTCATGCTAAATATTTTAGCTCTAGCTTTTTGGGTTATTTAAAAGAAGATTTTTAAATTTTTACTATATGCATATTGGGAAAATCAATGACCCCCTGGGGCGGTGCCAATTTCGACCCCAGGGCTTTTATTTGAACAAATTTGGGAGACACTCACTAGAAAATGTTTCATGCCAAATATCTAAGCTCTAGCTCTTTTGGATTTTTAGAAGAAGATATTTAAAGTTTTTTTCTTATGGTTGCCATTGCAACCAGAGTTCTGCATGGAATGATATTCTTTGAACAACTTTGTTAAGGCTTCACACAAGGAACTTCCCTGTGACGTTTCATTATGATATGCCTTATGGTTTCAGAGGAGATGTCGTTTTAAAGGGAGACACAGACAAAATTTTCATTTATTTTTTAAGTTGTCATTCATTATTTTGTAAATGCCCTCATAATAAATATATTAGACAGTAAAAGGAACAAAATTTTTCTCCATATAAAGAATAAAATGGTGGTTTCCTAACTTGACCCGCGTGGGTCAGGTTAGAGCGCTAGCATTTCACAATAGTTGTCAAAGTGAACTCAGGAAACGTTATTGAACATGTCAAATGAATAACTTGGGATTGTTTTAATCATACAATATCCACAATATCTGTTATTGTAACTTTAAGGATTTGTTCAAGTCACCTGACTTGTTTTAAAACTATTTGGTGATTCTATTGGCGTCTAAATTTTGTTCAACATATATAGATATATTTACGCTTCAAACCCTAAATATTTAGAATTTAAACAGAAATACATGCTGAAACTTCAAGAAATGTCATTTTAGCGTAATTTGAGAACTTAACATCATTTTAATATTTTTTGTCATTATTTTGCCTGAATATCCCTTTAAAAGTATGAACGGACAACGGACGACGAACGACGGACGACTGATGGTCAGGTGAGCTAAAAACAACAATTAAGTCTTAATCAAAGAAAGATTTACTTCCGGTTATTCAAGACAGACTAACTCGTGCTTTATAGACTTCTCAGTAAGATGTTATAATTAATTGGACGACTATACAATTATAGGATACAAAATGCCTGATTTTTTTTTAATTGTGAGTTTAGTTTTCTGGTAATTTCCCTTCAGATAGAAGAGAAATAATTCTTATTTGCATTAATTTTCTTTTTTACTACAATTATGGCATCGGAAGGTTCAGTAAAAGCAAACAGTACCAGTGATCGCAGTTCTGCCATCCACGGCCAAGCGTACCATTTGGCGTCAACTTCATATCTATTTTCTGATGGATTTGAGATACCTGTTAGTTGTGGCTTTGTTAATCCACAAGATACCTCAAAACTGTCTAATTTAAAAGAAAAAAACATTAACCATTCAGTTAATACATTTTACAGAATAAAATACAAATAAAAGTTATATATCTTGCATTCCTAATATTATTATAAACTTTATGTGTATATGTCGCATGTGCTGCAAAGATAGCTGTGTCTCTAATTCATGAAATGCGTTCTTTTCATATTGCCTGTCATAACTATACAATGCACAGAAAGAAAGCTTTAAAACATTATTATAGATGGGCGTGTTGAATTCATATTGTCTCGACTTAATTAGAATAATGAAACAATAACAACAACAACTACAACAACAACATATTAGGTCGCAGACACGAGAAATTTGAAGCAACAAAACTAACTTGTGACAAAGAGTTGCCTTCTTTGTCCTTCGTATACATTACTTACTTTTTAGAAAAGTATCTTCGCATTTATTATTCGATCTATTAAAGCAGCATGCCTCCATTTTTCGCGATTAATTTTGTAAAACTTCTTTACAAACGTACGTGTTTAAGTGTTAAATATTGTAAAATGAACAGAGCATAAAATTTACTCATTGCAAACGATGCTAAAATCGACGTAAATATCCCCATCCCTCCGCTCAAAAATAAGCACAAATATTCTTGACTGCATGAATAACGCAGAAGAAATATTGTGATAAATATTCCAAAACCGAGCGTTTTTTCTTAAGTTTGATTTTCTTAAAATATTTCAGCATATCTGGAGGTTTGCAGCTTTTAATCCCGTGATATTTTATAGTCAATGTAATATAAATATTAACAAGTATGAAAAAGAACAATTGAAAGAAGTTCAATATGACGTCATAGAACCATTTGAAAGATTAAAACTACATTTCTTTTTTTAAATAAAGAAGATCAGTGTCAGACCTTTGTTGATCATCTGGTACATAACATCTCTAAAGACATCCTCATCATTACTTATTGCAAAGAAATGATTTTCGTTTTCAATATGTGAAGCCAAGTTTCGCATCGTATTAAAGCCTTTAGTATATGTAGGGTCCCCGATTGCGATTGAATATATTTCCACATTGAAATCGTCTGTAAGTCTTGAAGCGACATCAGTCGGATCACCCATTGTTGTGAATCTTCCTGTTATATAGTTAGATTTCAAAGCATTATCCTTAAATCTATCAGAAGAGACAAAGCTGAATATGTAGATGTCGACGATGTTAATGAACCAACTTTATTCCGTTGAACTGAACAATATCTTTCTATGCTGTTATCTCTCTTTAAAGTGAATCAAATTATATCATATGAAACAGTTTATAAAAACGTTTTTAGAAATAAGAAGTTTTCAAAACTTAATGGTAGTTTCGTGTTAGATGTGTAACAAAAAATGTTTATGTATTTCAATATTTATATGCTGGAATATTGTACGTATACAGAATAAAAAATATGTGACACAGTGAAATTATCAATTTGATAATTTTCACTTTTTTTTAATTCAAGCCCGTTACGTTATTTCTGTGAAATACTAGCGTGCACAAAACAGGAAACCAACTAACTGACGTTTTATTATTTGGCGCTCTTTTCATTTAAAATTAGGTAATAACGTCTTTTTAAACGTTTCTTTGCATATAATAAAAAATGTTTACTTTAGTTCAAATTCGAAATATGTTTCACCTCCTAAACACTAAAAAGTTCATATTTCACTCGTGGTTGCGCCACTCAGGAAATGTACCTTTTGGTGATCACTCCGTGAAATATTCCGATCTTACACTGAACTAAACAAATATCCTCTATATCTTTTAGTTACAGTAATTTGGCAATTCAAGGATAGAAATTATATAGCTTTAACTCTCTATTACATTTTATCATTTTCAATTTCACATTACTATTACAAGACTTTCAATGGTGATAACATAGTTTATATTATGTGATTAAAAGCGAATAGTCATGAACTGACATCATATATAGTCAAGAAATGTTATAGCGGTAGCCGCAGTTTCTTTCTCTTTTCAAAGTTCTTTTTTTGCGAAAATAATTGTTTTCAAAGTATCTTTAATAAAAATATATTGTTATGATATCGATCTAACAGTCCTGAAACTCAAAATATGCGGACACTTAATTTCGCAAATATGTCCAAAGTGATTATTTTACGAAATAATGGCAACGCAAACATATATTAAATTACAATAATATATATTTGGTTAAAATGAAAAGCAATCAGGTACCCGCCGCAATCTGGAGTTTAATTTATAAAGGAGTCGAATGACCACTACAGGTAAAGTGAAAAATATGTAACATGCTATAAACTGAATAAATGAATAATAAAAGTAAGTAGACAAAAATAAATCATTACAATAGCATAATGCTAAAGCAGAATTCACTAACCGTCACTGATGATAAATAAAACTTCCTGGGAGAATCTGCCCAGACCTTTCAATGAACGAACTCCTTTAAGACCAACTTGCCAAGTAACGTCATCCAGCGCAGCTGTTATTGCAGTGCCCGTACCTGTATATTCATTATAAGATTTTCACAAGGTCAAAGGTCAGGTTTACTATAACCTTAAAACTGAAAACAGTTTTCGGAGGAAAGTTCCATTTGGCCCGCAGTGTTCAAACTTTATCGGATGATTGTCCATATTGGGCAGAAGACCCAATTGATTTTGGTGTCACAAGGTCAAAGGTCAAGGTCACTTTTACCTTAAAACTGAAAACAGTTTTCGGAGCATAACTGAAGTTCCATTAGGCCCATAGTGTTAAAACGTTATACTTAGGATGATTATCCATATTATGTTGAACACCCTTATAGATTTCTGGGTCACAATGTCAATGTCACTTTTACCTTAAAACTGAAAACAGTTTTCGGAGCACTACTTAGATCCATTTGGCCCACAATATTCAAAATTCATAGAAGGCTTGCTATTTGAAGAAGGTAACACTTTTATTTAATTCCCATGTCTTCCAAATGCTTTATTCTTACTAAAACACTTTCGGGCATATAATTCTCCGCCCAGCGGTGCTCTTGGTTATTTTCTTATTGAATAACAAATTGGTTTATGCCATTGTTACATGTACTTATTTCAATAAGTTTATACGATCAAAAGACAATCACCAGAACAAAATGATCTGGCAAGCTTGGAGCTCAAAAATGGTTCGTTTAAAATGTGCTTTATCATGGTAATACATATTTTAGTGATACAATAAATTGAAATAAAACCCTACTGCTTGTACGTAATTTGATAGCCACAGCACAAACACATGTGTTACTATGAATACAACTAAATAAATCCCTTATTATTCAAAAATTATTTTACTTCTATAAGTATACTGCCTTCATTTTAAAGTAGAAAGAAATGACATATTGTTTGCTATGCCATTTGGGTCAAACTAAATAATCTTAAAAAGAGTAATCACTATAAAAATATTTTATTATTTGTTTCGTATACATGTACAAACTTCGAAAGTCTACCGGTTTTGATTGCAAAATATTTACGGTTGAAAACCATGAAGGTGGAAAACTAGAATCCATCCAATGCAGAATTCAACATGCGACAATTAAATTGTAGGCTTCGAGCATAGATGTGTCAAATTGCGGTCAAATCATAGACCATTAGTTTTTCTTTAGGTTAAGTTATTCATTGAACAATGAAGTGGCAAATGTTCCCGAAGTAAAATCATGTCCTATAAAATTATCACGATTATATTTTTCTTTGGAAATTAAACAAAAATAAATAAATAAATAAATAGATTATCAATAAGAGAAAAATGTTAAAAGCGCCTGGAGTTATTCAGATCAATTATCAAAATCTTGAAAAGTCACAAAATGGCATTTTACAGTGCAATTGTCCTCCAATCAAACAATATTTATATCCTCAATATGTAAAAATTAGTTCAAAATAGCAATGCATGAAAATTACGATAGGTATAGAGTACGATATCATAATGTCTTTTAAAAATTTCAAATAGAATGTCGAATAAGTTTTAAATTGCATGGCAATGATTTGCAACTTTCCCGTTGATGCTAATGGGCTGTAATACATCTGTACATGTTACTATATAAGTAAAAATAAAAAAACAACAACTTACTTGTTTTCATTGTTATTGCATTTAGCTCCTTTTTATTCATATAACTTCCAATTTCTTCTGCTGCTTCTTCGTATGACTTAATACCTCTTCGAAATTTGTTGAATGTTGGTCAAACATCCTACACGGTTTGGTGCCAAAGAATGTCAGCGCTAGTCTTGTACCAGTATCACCATCATTTATACCAAGCTTTAATAAGGATGATTGAATGTAAACTGACGAAAAAGTATCTCATTGATTTTTTTATTTCTTTAAGTCTATTTAGTTATAAATTTTTTTTTAGAATATATTGACAGTATATACAGTGTCCTTAATATAAAATTCAATTTTAGGTTTGATTGTTATTTAGAATTTCTCTCTAATTTATCACACATTGATGGTTTTCGCAAACTGAATTTTCGTAACAAAACATTATGATGCTACGTTAAGTAGGGGTTTAACCGTTTAACAATGATAACATCTTTCTATCATTTTTCTTTTTCAAAAATCAGTTCTGCAGCATATACATTTTATAGATTTATACACTTCATAAAGTAGAATGAACAACTATAATCTGCAACATAATGACTACGACTAAGTGCTTTCCTTCAAACGTGTTTATGTACAAATACCCTTGTTTTCAAGCCCTGATGTTAACAAATCCCTGACATTACAAGCAAATGGAATTTCAAGACGTTTTATTAGCTCGAGTTTTTTCAAAAAAAAAAACACATAGCAACAATCATCTTGTCCGTTCCCGTTGCGATCCGAAAATCAGTTATTACCTACCATTAGTTATTATTTCTTTATAGCTTGTCTTCGTACTACATATTGATCAAATTAAATATGACCTTCACTCACCAATAACATTTAGATTTGAACAAAAATAGCTTGATTTTTGCTTTGATTTGTTTTTAATGAATGGCTGATGATAACATCCGTATGCTAAAAAGTTTAAGTATAACATTGAAGTCAAAACGACCATGACCGTTATGTCAAATTATTGAATTGTTATAGTTTGTTACTTATTTTCGGATTTGATTCATACTCAGACAAAATAGCACATTTGACAAAACTGACAACTTGAATTCCTCTATATCTTCTATGCGGAACACGCTCATGCTGAATTATTCTAATTTGCCCTAGACTTTTAAATGACCTTGACAACAACCAATATCAAATCATTGAAATTTAAATTTTCATAACTTTGCCATATCTTTATTTTTTATGTTATGAATTTGATTTATCCCTGGACAGAAAATACAATATGTCTAACCGATATTATGTTTAACTCAAATTAGACATTTACTGACTTTTGATTGAACTTGACCGGTCAAATAAAGAATTTGAATTCAATTTGTGTTAAAATGTTTTATATCTCCTCGGCCAAAAGGCTAATTGTGGAAAAAAGAATATTGTTTCTGTTCCAAGAACAATCTTTGTTAGGAGTTTGTCGTGAAATAACACATTACAATCAGCATATGAAAAGTAACAAAATTGACATTTTTGTAATGATTTATTACCAATATTTATGCACGCTGTATAGAGAGGAAAATTATATTCTATGTCTATATGGCACAATAACTCAAAAAAGATACTACATATATAAACATTAAACAGTACGAATAAAGTCGTTGAAATGGGTGATTAATAACGTATTATCAATTTGGCTTTTTTGTATCAGTAATGTTCTTTCAGTGTTTGGTTGTTTTTTTTTTGTTTTTTTTTTTCTTTTTTACTTTAAATGTTTTTTTTTTTCCTTTAAAGGTCAATTACTCAGATGAATAAGTGAAATAAATACCTCTGGGAGTAAAGCAAATAGAAAACTTAATGTTGTGTTAAACATTTGCGGTGTAATACTTTTAGATACATCGACAAGCAGGTAAACGTCTAAACCTCCACTGTTCCACTTTATAGTCTTTGACATTATTGTATCTGTTTTAGTCGAGTTTTCCTTCTTAGTCTCTGACATCTGTTTCATAGCTGATATTAACTCTATCCCAGCGCTAGAATCAAACAAAGACGCCCCTGTAAATCATAAATATACATTTGTTCTTATCTAAATTAGTTGTGAATTATATGAAAAAAATAATCAAATATGCACGAATGTGTATGTTCTTGGTTAAGGACGGTCCCGGGAGTTTTCATATAGACATATAGGCAAAATGAAAACTGTTCATAAGAACTTTGCATGCTGTTAGAATTTGATAACAAAAACATTTTAAGCGAAAGAAAATTGGGGTCACCGTTCCTGTTTTTGGGTTATCTGCCCCCCTGAATCAGAATGTTCTAATTATTTCAGGTCATTTCAAGGGCAGATAACTTATACATGCTTAAATGAATTCTTGTTGTTATTTCTGAATCATGTTTTTCTTTTTATTGTTGTGTACAATACGTTATAACATGCAATTCCTTATATCGTTTCTCTTATAATGTGTTTCAATGATAATAAAGGTACTTTAAATTCTTAAAAATAAGGCCATTTTAAAAGCAAAAAATGCACAGCTTAAAAAAGAAGTGGGGAAAAAACTATCCGCTTTAAATTCTTTCCTGCAATTTTGCATATTGATTAAAACCAAGGTAAGTTTCGTGAAAATAAGAAAATAAAAATATATTGCTTCCCTTCATGGTAAACTATCGGCTCTTGAATTTAACGAAAAAGTCCAATCCAAGATTGAAGTCCATAACTTGAAAATATGAGCGGTGACCCCAGTGTTTTTCCGTTTAAAATGTTTTTTTAACATATTCTAACAACATGTCAAGTTTAAAGAAATTATATTCAATAGTTTTCATTTTGCCTATAGTACACGAAAAAAAGTCTTTAAAAACGAGGTATTTCGTCTCACAAAACATACTAACCTGTAAAATGTTTTTGAAGTGAATAAACATCTAAACATCTTAACAATCTTTGCTTCGTCACAATCAGTATGTCGGACCATCGAGCGAATATATGTTGAGCTTTTAACATTGAATTGAAAGGCAATATATTATATGCGGGATTGCAGGCAGTGTATTACGTAACTTACCCGTGCAATCTATAGGGGTACCACTCCAGTACCTATTGTTCATGCAGGTCCGATTAGTGGAGCCTCCGTAATATTTGCCAGATTTACATGTTACATGTATCACGTCACCCATCTGATAACTCCCTGAAGAATGTTTAATCATAGCTCCATGTGGCAAACATGGCGGAGAACAGTATGGATCTGAAGACAATCACGAGCAAATTTATTTTTTCACCACGCAAAATACCTAAACTGAACTTGTCAATGTATTAAATTAGACAAAACTATTTATCATTGAAAAAAGAATTTCAATTACTCACTGACTGAATAGCAAAAAGTTCATACCATAACCTCACGACATAGATATTGATCTATGCTCTGCATCTATCGTAAAGTTAGAAACTTTTGTTGCAAGCAGGCAAATCATTTTACGAGACCAGTACAAGTAGCGAAATAAGAACGTTTCCCTGAGATCAATTTAAAATGCCTGCTTTATGTAAAATTCAGTCATATTACTAGGTAAGTTAGTATAAAGAAAATGTAAAATAACCAACACGTGTGACTCAAATATTGACAGAAGTTTGACTTGCGTCATCAGAAAGTATTTAAAAAGAAGCCACTAATATTGTAGGATAAACACAACACATTCAGTGTATTTTTACCGGATGGTTATTTATTTAAGATAGGTTGTGCATAGTCAAAGTGATGTTAAAAAGCGTTTAAGTTTAAATATTATTTGCACAAGGGGTATAATGTTTTTGTTATCCACTTTTTTAAACTGTTGCATACGACATGGCGTGTGTGCGTGCGTGTCAGCGTGCTTACATGCGTGTGTGTGTGTGTGTGTGTGTGCACGTGCGTTGGTGAGTGAGCGCGTGCTGGCGTATGTATGTGTGTGTTAATATGTAAAAATTATGAGTTACCTTCACTCGCACATTTGACACAATCGTGGTCCCATTTTCCGTTTGATTGACATCTCCACTCCGAATATCCTATCATGTCGTAACCAGATTCGCATCCGTAAATAACTGTTCCATTTACATAATTATGATCTATTCTAAGAAAGCCATTACTCGGGCTCTCCGGTTTAATACAACGGATCCCTAAAATAATGAGGCATCCATCAATGTTCTTTTTATGTTTTCAATAAATTATGATTTCTTAATTGATATGTCAGTATCTTTAAATTCAAACCGATTTAAAACTCTTCACCAATATAACACGTATGTGCATATTTGAAAAGTTTTCTTCGTAGCCAAATATTGTTAATGTGATCATCCGTTTTTTTTTTCTTCTTCTTCTTCTTCTTCTTCTTTTATAAAAAAGAAAAAAAAACAATTCCAATAAAAGAAAGCAAAGATTTCTGAATAATACTCACGTTTGCAGCCAAAATCACTCAAAAAGAATTTACTGAAACTTGATGGTGTCATGCAAAGAACAGATTTAACACCGCGGTTTTGCCGATATCCGTCATCGCATTCCAATATCATCTTTTCAAGGAATTCGTAAGTTGCCTTGTAGTTTGTAATAGTTCCATTACTTATATCAGCATAAGGGGTTGCATCACATTCTATTGCTGAAACATAAAATACTTAAGGCTTTCTTTAATGTATTAACAACAACTGATGTTTAACCAATAGTTTCTGATGTATGTCATCCATACTGGTATTTTTGGATGGAAAGTCAAAAATACAAAAAGACGTGAAACTAGGAATGAAAGAAATTCGAGACCAAAACGTATTTAATTGACTGTCGTCACAAAGACATCATAACCTGCTTTGGTAAAAACTAAAATTCAAAACGCATATCATACTTTTTACATCACTATATCAAATCCTATTTTACAAAATTGTACTTTTGCTTTATAGAACTTGAATTGTGTCCATAGGACACGGGTGCCCCAACACTCCATTGTTTTGTCAATCGTATGACTATATGTCAATATTTTTTGGGCTACATATGCCACAAGTTGAAAACTAAACATATTTTAGTAAGTTAAGGGCAATAACTTTCCAAATATTGAATGAATCCATAAGGGAGCCCAAAGGTGCATAAATACATATGCTGACCAACGTTATAGACTGCAATAAAATGCCTATGAAGTTGAAAAATACGTAGTGTGGTTTAACAAGATATGCTGATTTGGAAGAAAATGTTGATAATGACTGTCGGTTTACGTCAGATGAGGCAAAAGTGCATCACATAAGCACACCTCTAAGGTACGCTACAAAATAAAACAAGTAAAATGGTTTCCTGCGGGGAACATTTTTGATGATATAAAGATATTTCATTTAACTATCTTCAACATTGTTTGGGTGGTTGGATAAATAAACGTTTTGTATCAGGAATATATTTGACAATAATCGATCAATATAGAAGAAGGTCTTTGGACTGGTGACCGTTTATGACCGGAGAAGGTCGAACATAAAACAATTATTTCTTTTTAAGAAAAAGATTACATAGGCCTACCATTTTATGAATAATTCCGAGCAAAAAAAAATAAGCAAACACACAAGTTTTCGCAGAAAACATCTCTTTTTATTTTATTATGGCAGATACCACTACGAATATTTTAATTTTGTAGATTTTCAGTATAAACAATTTATTGTTTGTAACATTTTGAGATACATATTAAAGAAACATTGATAATTTTCAAACACATCATTCAAGTTTTTCCACCTTAAACGGTATTATAATTATAGAAAATTAAAAATATCACGTAATAGTTTTTGTTCTTAATTAAGTGTAATTCTGACTTATTCCCTAGAGGATTATCGTAACGTACCGGCAAACGGTATTTAACCAGGTTTTCGAAAAGGTCAATTAACCTATCATGTACGGTTTACAGATCACATGCTCCTCCATGTACCGAAAACAGGTCACGTGCTCCTCCATGCCTCAAAAGTTAAACGCGTACCAATACCTCTCCAGACCGCAGGGAATTAATAGTAAATTTCAAACAAGACTTTTCTTTACAATTCAAAGTGGCTATGTAACACAATAAGAAAAGCTATGATTTGGTCAAGATTAAATCGAATAAAATGTGGAATAAAACCTGCTTGTTATTTTTCAAATTACGATAAATCACATTGCTTAGAAAAATGTCATTGTGGAACATGGATGGTGCAACATTAATTTTATGACAAAATGATATATTAGAATAAAACTTGTTGTAATTATGGAAATTTGTATTATAAGGTGAAATTAACTGAAGAGTCAAAGATTGATATAGCATTGAGAAATTGTGTAGTTACTATAGAAACAATACAAAGATCTGAACTACAGATGAAGTAAACTACAGATGAAGTAAACTACAATTGAATCTCTAAAGCTTAAAAGTTTGCTCTCATATGATGAAGTTTCATTTACATTAAAAATATGAAAAGTGATAAAAGCCAGGTTTTTATTGGTTTTGGAACTAAATTGGACATTATGCTAATAGTGTAGATAACTTTTCAAGAAGGCAAAAACTAGATACAATAGATGCATTTCAAAATAAAACAAACTAAAATAGTAAGAAACAGTTTTGAAATGTTTAAATGTTGTTTCTCAATTGCCTTATGGTTGTAAAGCAAATATAATTAAAAGGTGTTTTCCCTATCTAAGTGTCAATAGATCAAACTATATGAGTAATAAGTAGATAAATTGAAGAGAATACTAGATTATTATTTACTGACGGTAATAACATACCCGATTTTAATATATGATAATCGTTTTTTAAAATAATTTTTGATACAATCTTTTATATTTATAGAAAAATGATTTACACTGTTTGATTTTAGTCCTATGTTTTGGAAATCAATATCATTATCTTTTTACAATGCTAAAACTTGTGTAATACTAAATTGTGTGTATCTACATTCATCAATTTGAAAGTTAAATGAGGGTGTAAGCAAGATGACCCCGTTTCATCGGAAATATTAATTTTTTGCTCAGAAATACTGGTTTTTAGAATTAAAAATGTAATGATGTTAAAGCTATACTTATCTATGGTGACGAATATAAATTGCACAATTTGCAGATGATACATCACTATTTTAAACAAGGTAAACAAAAGTAAAAGTTATTGGAAAAAAGAACGTAAACACCAATAGGGAAAGTCACTGTTACTTAGTCTATTTAACTTCCTTTATTTACACTTTGTTTTATACGTTTGTAAACTTCTAGTGCAGTACTTTTTAAAGACAATGATTTATTTTATGACTTAATATAGAAAAGCAAGGCACATTTAGCTATCAATTATGACAATGACATGTAAAGCTGGTCAAAATATGAATAATATTTATAGTTAAATACACTGTAACTTGATAATTAATAAGATATAAATTCTGTATGATGTTATAAAAGCCTTTATCATACTTATTGATTAGCTTGATATTGATATTTATGTATGCCACTATTTAATAAACATGAATTGATAACAGAAAGTTAAAGCTTTTTCATCACAATTTTATTTATTCGTGGATTTATATTTGTAAATGATATTTCAAATAAACATGAATAATTTGAGACTTAAGTCAAATAGGACAAATTACATGTAAACAAATTACTTTTTACGGTATCATAGTTTGAAAATGACAATAACAAATTAAAAAAACAGGACATTAATATTTGTATTCAATATGACATCACTAACTGTATGTTCAGTATCCCATTACATGTATAAGTTATTACATCGCACAAATCATATTTGTAAATAACAATCATAAACCAACATGTCAAGAAAAATGGAGATAATACATTGGAGACAAAACCTTTAATTGGTAATATGTTTAAAGAGACATTATACTCATATTTTTATAGTCAAGTTGAGCTGAGTTGACTATATATTTTAAAAGATTGACTGACAAAATGGTGTTTGATCAACAGTTGATATTGGAAAATGTTAAGGGTAAAAATATAAATCTGCCTAAAATTCAAAAAGACTGTTCCACTCTTTTTATAAACTAAAACATTATAGATAAATTCTAATTGATTTACAGAAATTTCACTTGGATCTGTGCCTTATTTATTGTTTATGCGAACTTACTTATTGAATTAAAAGATATTATGGCAAAATGAGAACGTTTTTGATCTGCAACCGTTAACTCACTTTATACCTTTGGATGGGCATAACGTCACTTTAAAGATCCTGTATGTTTTGTCATTGATATTGTTACTGTGTGTATACAACACTAGCAAAAAATATATATATTTGTACATATACTCAACATCACTAATTCCGTGTCATCACTTAGTTCACGATAATGGCATATATCCATGTGACCAGTGTTAAAATTTGTCAGAATTGACATTTTTTATTCATACACCTAAACAACAAAGTTTTTGTGCAAATATTTTAAATCTTTAGATTTTTACGTTAAACAGAACAACATGTTACAAATTTCTGCAAAAAGCTACAATGGTCCATACATTTTTTGCGTATGTTGGAAACAATCGTCATTTTCTAAATGTTCTCGTTCGTTGAAAAAATAATTTTTGAGTCACAAAGTAAATATAGGTTTAATATTTAAAATTGAGCCGTATACCATATAGAAATATTAACCGAAACATGCAAAACCCATAGTTTAACGCCATTTACCTCAATTTTAATGATAACATACTGTTTCAAAATGGCCGATACATGGTCTATTTTCGACCTAAAAAAACTAATTTTTATTGAATATATTGTTGTTTTCTTGTGTCATATAGTATAACAATACCTAAATGTTACAGCATATGACAGTTTTTGAACCATAGGTTCATTGTTTGTTTTCTTTTCTGTTTTAAAGTGTTAAGTACCGTGAACTAAGAGAAGCACAGTATAATTATGCAGAATATGTAAAATGTGTACTGCTAATAATTGTGCACATTAGATTTAATTAATAAATTACTTGCATTCATTTTTCGTTGGAAAATTTGACTTAGAATTATAGAAAATAAATTTCTAATTACCTCCCTTTATTTCTATGAAATGTTAAATTGGGTAATATCTTTATAAATAATGCTTATTGGAACTTACAATATTGACAAATCGTAATTTGAGCATCATATTTATGAAATAAAACCATGAAAAAAATTGTGTAACAGGATCTTTAAATGTACTACAGATTCATATTGGCTTCAGACAGACAAATATTTACAGAATATTGGCAAATATTTCAGTTTCTGAAAGAAAAGATGCATTACTTTGATACCTTTTCTATACAAATATGACAAGAGAAGAAAACAATAGATGGGCAATTGTGAAATCTCTATTTGTAAATTAGCATTACTGCATCATATCTAGATAATATTTCACTTGTGCATATGACAACTTTAACCCATACATTTTTGTCAGATTTTTTTTTGCCATTCTTCTATTCTGTTAATAGATTAAATAATTGATCAAAATATTTATCTTATTAATAGCATGTATATGTTTTAACTGTTACTATTTTAATTTTAGCAATGTGCTACAATGATATTATAAACGGGTTAAACGAGTTGGAGCCTCACAAAATGTTGTTATGTTAAAAATCGTCCAAGTTAATGAGTTGGCGTGGATTAAATTCAAGGAAAAAATAAACAATTACGTCTTGTATTGTCCCCCCAACCCGAAAAAAGAACTTATTTGGTATCAAAAAACTATTACAGGCAACGGGCTTTTTAACAATAGGGTCAAAATTCACCTTGACATTCACCAAAGAACAATTCAGAATCGGGAAAACCATTCCAGAATCCATCCACATTGCAAGTAATATCCTTTAAAATTGGGGCGGGTTCTGCAATTGTTGTTGTTGATGGTGACGATGATTCGTTATAGTCATAGTAGTTATCATCAGAAAGTAATAATGTATCCAATTCATTCGATAATATATAACTGCAAAACAAACAAAAAAGATGTTCATGTTTATATGCTTCTTCGCTTTGATATATGATGTTCTATGGCAAAATCAAAGACATGTTTTATATGCTGTAATACCTTAAAATGAAGACCTTTAACAATTTGAAGATACAACAAAAATACCCTATCACTTATTTCGTATAGAAGAGAAAGCAATTTGAAACAAACTTGGTAACAAGTGAACATCATAAGTAAACATTTAAGTATCTTAACGGCAGATTTGAAAGTTAACAAAGAGATAGAACAAATCTAGACCTCTATTCTTTGGCTTGTTGCACATTATTCTATGCATACAAGTTTTATTATATCTCAATTCATCCTTCAGTGAAAATGTCCCATATTTTATTTCCCTGGTTATGTTATTCTTGGACGCATACCTCTAACAAATCTGCCGTCGTTATTGTATTAGTGAACTCCGTGAAATTGCTTGGAATGATTATATTCTACTTAAAGTAAATATTAAGCGTTTTCTGATTATGGTCGTAGCAATGAAAATTTATTGTTAGATAAGATAACCATTTAAAAAGAGCGTCGTCATGTGAAATAATACAACAAAAATACATTGAAACAGTATTTACCCCGGTTTACAGCTGTACTTTACTGTATCACCAGTGTAGAAATCGTGTATGGCTTTCTTAGCATTATTGATCGTGACAGGGATTAGGTACCTAGTCGTTACTTCTCTGGTCATGTCCTTTGGCAATGGTGGAGCTGAACATTTTTTCTTTGCTGGTGATATTATAAAGTCAGTAATGCTTAAAAAACTTTTAATAATATAGATACGCTAATGTTTCACATTAAATCTCTAAAATATGTTCGATTTCTGTATTTAATACATTTATTAGATTATGGTTCATTCATAAACATATAGGACTTTTCATTTAAACATCTGATAGAGGGAAAATATATCAATTGAAGAGTTAAACTATAGAAGAGGCTACAAATTCTGAATCAGTATAAATACCCATAGATAATTACGTAATACTGTTAAGAGATGTAGTACAAACACGACTCTTTTTAGAAAATGATTCAGAATATTGAATTTTATTGCTACAAATAGAAATAAATAAATACATACGTTCGCATGTCACATTTTGTAGATATAAACTACCGCCTTCAATAAACCAAGCTGACGTGGCTTTCCATTCATATGATGCTAACGCGTCAATGAACATACACTTAAACACAATATCCCCCAAGTCTGGAATATTACTGACATAATCTGTCCGACACTGATATCTGCGATACATGTACCTGCCTATTTGCGAATCATGTAGGATCTTGCTATTATCAAATCTGTTACCGGCATCAGTGCATTTCTTTTCTGGAAGAAATACAATACTGATAGTGAATTAATTGTCGTAAAATCGAATTTATTAAAGATGAAAGGAGTATCTTCTGCATCAAAGAAAACACAAGTGTAAATACAAAGATAAAGATAAAACAAGTGCATCACATATAGTTTAGCAAAAAAAGTAAAAATATCAGTAAAAGTAAACACAAGTAAATAGAAAAATAAAAAGTTATAATATTAATAACATTTTATATACGAAATAAGTGAAAATATTGCTAAAAATAAACAAAATGTTAAAATATCGACAATATATTATAGAAGAAATAATTATAAAAATATTGGCAATAAGTATCAACAAAGTCAAATGAAAATATTAACTGCATAAAAGAAGAAATAAATGAAAATATCGACAAAATATTGAAGACACAAGGGAGATTATCGACAGATTTAAAGTACATGTATATAGAACAAAAAACAGCAACAATATCAACAGAGATATGTAAAAAGATAAGAATAAAGAATAATTAGATATTCTGAGAAAAATGCAAAATAAATAAATAATGAATTGAAAATATTAACAAAATATAGCGAGACACAAGCGAAAATATCGAGAAAAGTATAAAAATGAAAACAAATAGAATATAAAAAAAACATATCATAGACAAAGTGACAAATAAATAGAAGAAATTATGAAATCTAAGGGAAAAAACTACATATGAATAAAAGCAATTGAAAATATCGGCTATAAAATACAAAAGAAACAAGTGAAATTGTCAACAAAGATGTAGAAGAGTGAAAATATTGACAAAAATATATTGCGGATATGTGTGTGTTTGTCTGTTTCTGTGTAAGATCAAATTTTATATTATCGATATAGCTTTAAAACCAGTATTCTCACGAGTCGCGTAGCAACGAACGAGAATCAAAAAAAATTATACCTTACACAACAAACACACACATTTCTTTTTATTTAATGCTTAAAAAAGGAGTTCAAATGAAATTTTCTCAATATTGACTCGAATATTAAAATTTGTTTTCCCTACAGGTAGCCTCAATTTCAGACAAATTTATCATAAATACAAGCAGTCTTGATCTGACAAATAAGTTCGAAAATTAACGTTAAATAGCGACTTTATTATTTATTTATTTCAAACAAAAAATATGATTGATTGCTTGTTTTAACCATTAAAACATACATTTCAAGAAGATAGAAAATTTACACCATGACGGCCTTAATTTTGGGTCGGAGAGATATATTGCAGTAACTCCATATCACTGTTCAAAAAAAGTTTATGTCATGCAATTAAATAATAAAATATCTTTTGATAACTTTACATCAGTCATAAGAAAGAATTCTTACTCGTAGATTGCTACAGATAATAATTAATTATCTCTGATATTTGCGTATTATTTCAAAAAGCGACCGTGGAATCTTTTGAAAGACTGTCCCTCGCAATACCGTACTGTGGCTCTACCGACTGAGCTTACACATCTTCACTGTGAAATTATCAAATATAATTTCAACGAATAAATCAACATAAAGCTAAAAAAATAAATAAATAAAAATGTCGGTAAATTTGATAAAATAGAGGAAATTACCCAACAATCTATTAAGGTATATAAAAGAAAAAAACACAATATCGGCAAAACTATATTGACGAAATTAAATATCCACAAAATTAGATATGAAAAATTTGGACGCAAATATATGGAAAATTCAATCGAAACAAGAAGTATCTTTAAAAAGATACTCGGCCGAAGTCAAACTTGTTAACTTACATAGGATAACCTACTACTAATAATGCCTACCGCAAACAGACCATTTTATTCGTCCTCAATAATTTTATTTCAGTTCATTTTTACCCGCAATGTTTTCCACATTAATTGTCATCTTAGATTTAAACAACATTAGTTACAATATTTAATTTTAATCAATTGGAATTTAATTTGAATAAGAATTTATAAAAATTTATAATAACACAAAGATTTAGTAGAAACTGTACACCAATTACAAGGAGAATTTTGCAACTGTAAATTAGTTGAAAGTTTGTTTCAATCGTCTTATGCCCGTTTCGAGAAGAGAATATAATGGCTAGAACAGCTAAGAAGAGAAACCCAATCGAACGCAAAAGTATCAAAAAGGCGATATGTCATATTTAATTTCATATATTTATTGAAAAGCTGTTAGATACATCTAGAAAATATCATTATTTGGTTTTAATATTTATTCTGACTTTTTCTAACACTTCTTGCCATCGCGCAATCGAACAGACCTCTACCTATAACGGAAGTTCATCTAAAGTATCAATCGAACAGGCTATAAGTGTAAAAATGACTAATGCTCATTCTGTCTATATTCATTTCTTAGCGAAAGTCAAGGTGAAATCAGACGGCCTTCGGCCGAAAAAAATAAAACAAAAGCTACGCAAGAAATAAATGTAAATATTGACAAAATTAAATATAGAAGAAACAAACGAAAAATATCAATTCAAGAAAATTGAATGTTATTTACAATTTTTTTAATTTGCAGTGTTTTTTTTTTCTTCAGTATTTCCCTCTGTACCTGTTGCAAATCTGTGGATTTATTTTAGCTTACGCTGATATATTAGCTTATTTGGAGAAAATCAATAGGAGAATAGGACTGGTGATGAAGTTAATGCTGTTAAATTGTTAGCTTCATGTGTATCATAAACAGTCGCCATACATATATTTACCAGATTTCGTTGTATAAATGTATTCATTGCAGGCTTATAAGACAATATACATTTGAATAATCCTAGAAAATAAAAGTAATGTACTGGTCTGTTCTGTTGGAATGTGGAGTTTTAACTTGGTTTTGCATCATAACTGTGCATTAAATTAAAGATAAAACGTTGTTCATTAATTATAAACTACTCATTATCTTTTTATTCCGGTTTACAATATGTCATATGTGATTATTTTATTGCTAACATTTCTATATGGTTCGAACACTTAGAAAAAGCATGTGCAAGTTATCTAGTTTTACACGTTTCAAGATTTTTACCGAAATAAAAAAGCTTTGTAACCTCGCTTTACTATAATCAGGCGGCATTTAAAGTGTTAACAAAAGTGTTAAGCAAAAACTATATCCACGCAAGACTATCCAATTATCTAAAAACAAAAATACAAAACTTTAAAAGATATTTACATTTAATGTTTTTACAAAACAAACTTGTTTTTCTAGTTTCTTAAAGTAAAGAAATGGATAGGTTTAAAACATCTTTCTGACAATGCAGTGCAACAGCTCTTATACCAATGTGTTTTGTACAAATGCCAAACAGGAGATAACATGTAAACACGTGTTAATGCTGCAAACGAATATCGTGTCTATTTCTAGGACATACCGGGCTATGTCAGTAAACATGGGTTTCTATATATCAAATTAAACGTTAAATGTTGCACTGTGCTTACCTATGTCAAAACATTTTTTATCCAAGATGGCGTCCAAGATAGCCGCCATATCTTAAATTATATGTTATACAATAGGATGCATTCAAATTCAATGATTTTAATTATTTGAAATTCCAGGAAAACATTTAACATCGTACTTGAAGATATCAAGGAGAGTAAATATAATGTTTTTGTTGAAAAAAAAGGTTTCCTAAAAAAAGATGTAATTGGAATTATTATTGATTTTGTCATTACTATGTTTTATCTCTTTATATAAAACAATATTTTTCACACAAATATTTAACTATTACAGTGAAGTTCCTTAGGAATCCTTAGAATCTCGAAGAAATAATCATATGCTTATCTTACTTTATAAAATGAAAAATGGCGTAACACCAGATTACTTGTGTTCTTTACTTCCAACTTCTGTAGGCGAAAATTCAAGGTACGATCTACGCAATGCTACAAATATTCAGACTATTCGAACACGAACTACTCTTTATCAAAATGCTTTTCTTCCAACTGCTATGAATAAATGGAACGCCCTTCCAACTGAAGTACAAAATTTACGTTCACTGTTTGCTTTCAAATCTCATTTGAGACGAAGCAGCTCTAGTTGTCCTATTTATTTCTATGAAGTCGATAGAAAATGGCAGATCCTTCATGCTCGACTTCGTACTGAATGAAGTTCACTAAATCAGCATCTATTTAAGAAGAATATTTTCCATCTCCACTTTGTCAGTGTGGCATAGTGGAAAATAATTACCACTTTTTCTTTGGATGTCACCGCTATGCTGACAGCAGGGCCTCTTTTCTTAACACTATATCTACTATTTGTTCAGCAACTCTCCAAAAGTTATTAAATGGAGACCCAAACATTAGTGATGATGCAAACAGAAGACTGTTTGAAGCCGTCCATACATACATCCGAGAAAGCAGGAGATTCTCTTAAGCATATTCACATCAGCTCAAATCAATAAATACTTCCCATTTAAATCGCCGAACTATCCGAATGATCCACATTTAATTTATTTCTTCTTCTTTTCTATTTTGCTGAAAGTTTCTTACTTCATTTCTTTCTATCTTAATTTACGTTATTTCTCTTTAATACAAGACTGCATCATTTGTTATATAAACAAATGATGCAGTCTTGTATTCTCATTCATTTTTTTGTATATATTTTTGCTTTACATTATAACTAAATGTTAGAAACAATTTTGACTTTAACTTCTTAAAAACAATGTAAAATCAGATATATTTCAAGCAAGTCACATATACTGTCATACCGTATTTTATGCATTGTAAATCTGTAAGGAGAAGGCCTTTATAAGCTCAGCTTTCGGACCCAATCCTTTTTCAGCATATTATGTTTGTATTGTGTACATTATTGTCTGTATATATATTGTGAATTTGTTCGAAATAAACTTTAAACTAACTATTACAACCTAAAAATTTTTCAAAGAATTTAAAATTGAATTATTTTCTTTATCATTGTTCATTTGTAGTATAAAATAAGTTTGTTTTTATTACTTATCAATGGGTTTTGACCATTTCTAACTTCATTTATCAAAACAGAAAGGTAGATCTATTGTCATGACCCTCTCATCGGAGTTGGCGTT